CTCTTATTCGCTTTCTCCCCCTTGAAAGCTGCCCATAGTGACTGGGCAAACTGCAGTGAAGGCCATAGAGGCATCCGCAGGAAATGGCTAGACGCTTGAGCCCTGCAGGTGGCTGAAGACCTGGATAGTTTCGGAGATCTGGTTTGCAACTTTCTCCATGATCCTGGTGTTCTTTGAAATTAAGCTGCTTAAAAATGTGGATTATGTGAGTGATGCGAAAGGTGTTCCACTTATTTTGATCGTAGACGTAGTGTTCTCTCTGCTGGTGCTTGCTGTTTATAACCATTGTTTTGCGTTATAGTGGTTTATTCGAGTTCTGCGTATGTAGAGGTAAAAATATCCACGGTTCTTTGCATAACCCAGTCTGTCGCAGTCACTCCCGTGTGGATGTCGTGAAAGTTCGTGTTGGCGCCTTCAGTAAAATAAGGAACATAAAGAAAACCACACCACCATCAACGTGTACTTTCCTTACACGTGTTATTTCAGTGAGGCTGCTGAACAGTGTAAATTACAGGCTTAAGTGGGACTGGTCGGGAATTGAGACACAAAACAGGGTCAGGATTAAATTACAATTGTTAACAAAAGTTCCTTGTTGTATATTAATCCAATGATCATACGTGTCTCTTGGGACGCTTTTTACTTTATCTATATATGTTTATTTCAATTTGACATCAACAAATTGCGAAATAACACTGCCGGGATACTAATTATTCAAATGAGACATGAAGGATGGAGGAGTTGTCCTGCTTTTGCAGAACAACTTACATGTATGTGAAAAGGCTGAGAATATTACTGACGATATCGAAGCTATTTGGCTGGCAATAAAGGCACGGGAGTCGCAGTTATCTGGGTTCGTGGCTATCTACCGACTATGAAGGACGGATTCCAACACGAATACTTGCCTCTGAAAAACAGAAAACATATCGCTAGTCGACCTGGTGTTTTTCTTCCGGAGAACTTCAATTGTTGCGGATAACTATCATGCTATGTCTGGTGTCCTTGTCCAGTCCGACAGTTATTCAACCTTGCAAAGGGCCGTTCCATATACGCTATCCTGAAGCCACTCTATAGACTTCATCTTGGAAGTAGCTGCGTCCACACGGTCGCAGCTGCCCATGCAGCCACTTGTGCACACCTCCTCTCAGTAACCACAACGTAAGCCACTGAAACTCCATCTCTCGGCGAATACAACACACTAAATGGGCACGTCTTTAAATTGCGTCAAAACATACAAAAGAAGTATGACTGGATGTAATCAACACCAGTCCTCACTTTGCCGTTTAAGAAGACAACGCAGGTTTCTGTATACCTTAAACCCCTCATTCTGGTGCTTTCTATCTTCTTACAAGTCGGGATTTGACCTGAAGATTGTAGCGCTCTAAGTACACTCGCACCCCTTAGACGCTACACGATGCAGTCACTCGATGAAGCGGTCTGCAAACGAAGTGCAGAGCTCTCCTCACGCAGTATTTCTTAGTTCTAACAAAGGAGCATGGAGAACGATAGGCTAGTCGTTTGGGTCTCGTCTTCACAAAAGATCCTGGCAGTGTTGACGAGGTGTACTGTCCACCCCCGCTCGGTAGAAATATTCATGCAGTAATTTCATGGTAGTAGTGTTTGTGCTCTGTACCATATCCAATAAACGAAATGAAGCCAGATATATGGCAAAAAACGTCTTTCAAATGAATGGCTGTGGCGTCGGTAATATACTGGGATATTTTGTTCTCCAGACACGTAACCGAGGACTAGACGGTATTCAAGGAACATCTGTTGCATTTCACGAAGTACCACTGCCATTGTTAAAAATACAGGAAATCGGACCGACCTCAGTGGCAAGCATAGGCAAACAAGAAAGAAAGGTTGTGGAAGAAATCTTGCCGAAACAGCGAATATACATAATTTAAAGGATACAAAGTCCAGAGAGGCAACAATATGGATTTAGTTTTCAAATGACGACGAGACTTAGAGACTACATTGCTTCATTGGGTCGTTAAAAATCTTAAACTGTTCTGCAGCTACTTACGAAAAGGTTCACATGGTAGGAACCCAGTCCCTGTTATTATGAATTATGAGGGTCTCGACATATCTTGCAGTACCGCCAAAGCTTAACATTCGTCTTAGTCCATCCTGTCCGTTTTCACCAGGGAAGCTAATTTCATTCCATCCAGATACGAGAGCACAGAAGCGTCAGTTATCAAAAATATTATATTTTTGGAAGAAGCAATTTGTAGCAGACAAAAAATTTCAAGAAAAGTACATCTTCTGGTTCGGACAAGATTCAAACAAAATTGCTCTCTACATTTTCCCGAGAACAAGGTGGGTCTTTATCCATCTTGTGCAGAAATTTTTCGCTAATGGAAGTCTTCGCGTGGACTAGAAAACATCTCTCATTACACCGGTCCATACAGGTGGTGGTCGCTTGCGACCAACTAGAGACATGTCAGCCTGACAGCAAACTGCTGCAAAGTCATGGAGAACATTATCAAAAGGCATGGACGAGTCTTTGGAAACAGACAATTTCTCTTTAAAATCACAATAGGGCTTTGCAATGGGAGATCGTGTGCAGCAAACTCGCTTACATGACGCGAAGTTCGACTAAAACACACTGTGCATGCCGCCTTCATTGATATTAGAAGAGTTCTCGCTGGCGCTCCGTACCAGCGTCTCCTACGCAAACTGAGAGTGATGCTATTCAACTAGAACAAGTCTACCATGCTGTGTCTCGGAAATAGAGACAAGGTGTCTGGTACGTGCACCTACCGTCTAAACGGGATACCATTCCGAAAATCCTGAGCTCTAAAGCAGCTAATTCCGCAAATGCAATTCTGTATGCCACCAGGTGGAAGTTCGCAGTTTTCGGTGAAAACTGTTCTCCAAAGTTTTAGTACGCTTTTGAGGCCTCATCCTGAGTATTCGATCCAAGATGGAGACCCTGGACGCAGCGGGACTATATCCCATTCGAAAGTGTAGAGAAACGAGCCACAGGGAACATTAACACGCAAAACATGGCTTGATAACCTAAGTCCCTATCCTCTACGTTACAAGCAATTGCGCGGGGATTTTATGTAGACTTTCGACATCACGCACGGGTCGGACCGTATCCTCTAATTTGAGGACTTCATTCAGCTGGCTACTGCAACCAGCATTCGGGACATTTAAACTCTGTTTATTCCCTGCAAGGTCGGATGTGAGAAGCACTTCTTTCCAGATCGAGTCGATTGTAATGTCGCTGTCTGTGGAGACAATGAAAGATAGTCTTTGCAGACACGTTGTGCAACAGCAAGACGACTACGTGTCTATATAACCAGGAAAACAAGGCCAGTTGTATTAAACTATGTATGCTTTCAGTTGACGCTAGAATTTTCCCACATTATAACCCTTTCTTTCTGTCTGCATCTAACAACTAGGGGCTTCAAAGGTGTAAGCCAATTTTCATCAAATAAACTGAAGTGAACTAAAAAGGAGGTCGAATTTGATGTGGATTCAACATCTTTATTTCGAAATTTGTCATCTGTTTGAGTTCCCTCAGCGTTTGGGGGCGCCTGTGATTGGCTTTCCTCAAGGTTCCATGCGGACATGCTTCAGCTGCTAGACCGCCAGAAGCGCTTGAGGCCGTATACGTATTTAGTAGTAAATTCATTTGAGTAAGTCCTGTACCTCGCACAATAAAGGCTTGCTAACGCGGAGTTGGTGAACAAATCTAGCTGGCTTTATAGTGCTAACAAATTTTTAGAACTCAGGAAACACTATCAATATTTTGCAGTCGGAGTAAGGTTGAGGTGTGGTGAATTTTTCTCATGGTCGTAGCAGGAGGCAAATATTCGCATTTCAAATAACATTTTAGCTTATATCAGAAAGAGGCAAATAACCTCCCTTGCCACGACGGACGGCCTCTTAATGTGAAACTGAAATATTTTGCCGGGGCATTCTTTCATACCACTGCCTAAACGAAGGCGAGGGTGGCGATGTCTTATCTTTGATGCTCGTCAATGCGACTAAATCATTCCATTCGGGTTTCAATAATTTCTAATATCCATCTTTCATGCAGACCCCATTACGATGTTAGATAAGAAGGACTCCATTCGTCGTCGACTGAGTGCAAAAGCTCCGGGCAGTTTGCATCTGAAGAAAAGCTAATTAAGCTTGCTGTCATGTCGGTTGTTTACATGAATACTTTAGGCAACAAATTATTTATCTTCCAAAGCGTAACCGCTACTTAAGATCACCAGTTATGTGGACATATATGGCCGGGTATTTACAGTAAAAGCTAATATGACAAGTTCAGATGAGTTTATTTTAGTGTTTCTGTGACTTACGCTATAAAGCTACTTTGTTTTACTAAAAACATTGCAAAATGCTTGGGTAAAAGATAAGGTAGGCATAGTCCACTTTGTCTTTCAATAAAATGTCTCAGCATAACGATGAAACTCGAAATAAGAACGCGAAGCAGGACCCGCCTGTCTACTACCAGACTGTCTGATGCAAAACCCGCTTGTTGTCCGTTTGTTCAGTGCCGTTTTTTACCAATTTACTTAGCACTTAATCTGGCAGAGAATTTCTGGATATGATTTCGCGCAAGGTATGTGTTCTGGACCCGGTGAAGGTAACAATGAATCATTAGTCACCATAAAAGCATATGACATTATCGAATAAGAAAAGAGTTTAAAAAAACAAGAAATTAAGATAACATAATCTTGCACAGAAAAAGAAATTTGGGCTCTGCAAAGACTCCAGTACAATTTCTGGGAGTCAGCAAAGTGTGAGCGCTTAGAAAAAAATACCCACACACATTTTGAAAAAAGTCCAAAAAGTGTTACTTCTTTAGAGTGAGGAACAAAGTTCATATTTTTGGTGATCGAAATAGCCTGCTTATATAAATTTCATAGCAATACCAGATAAAATTAATACCCAAAGGTTTGTTTTAATATGCTACTTACGTTATGGGCGTTTTATTAGGTTGCCCGTCTCCTCTGGCGCGTGAACTGTAAACTCCGCGGGCGATGGTTAGTTTCCACGCTTTTTGATTGTTTGCACATTTAGTCGTTTAAAAAAGACGTATTTCTGGGAATCCTGTCTGTCATCGGCGGAGTCCTCATACATTTTACTTATGGACATTTTTACACTATCGGTGAGTTAGTTATTTAACTGATATTTTAAGGGAATCTTATAACATATATTACGTCTTACATTAAGCAAAAAGTGAATCCCGACTTTAACCCTGGATCGGCAGTATGGATTTCTGCTATTGCTTTGGCCGTCCAGGGCATATCTATGCCTCTTGGAGGTGCAGTTCTTCCTAAGATAGGGTACCGAGCTGTTGTGATTATTGGAAGTGCGATAAACAGGTAAGATTTATTTCTACTGGCACAATTCTTCAGATTATATGGGAATTTCTCATGCTAGTGTATGACAAGTTTAAATAGAGAACACGGAATATTTATTTTTTATTGTCCATGTTGAAATTGCGGACCCTACTAGGCTTCTACTGAGGGTTGCCGTATTTGCGCACTTTTTCTTGATTTCTTTCACATCTATTAAATATGTTGCGTAGTGTTAGACATGTGCATAGTTTAACCGATCGTTTTGCAACAGATTCTTTCCGCCAAACTGACAACTCTTGGAGGCCACTCTTGAAGGCCTATATGCCAGTTAATGTGCGGTTCGTGTAAAGGAGTGTAGGAGTTTGGGCAATTTTTATTATAACTTCTCTGACCGTCCTGAACTCGATTCTTAGACTGTCTCTAGATAACCTGATTTGAATATAAATATTTTAGTCTAGTAAGTCAGAGTTCTTTCTATCGTCAACTTTTCATACTATCTTTTTAGTGGGAGTGTGCTTCTTACCTACATCACCATTCAGAAGGGCTTCGCATATGTCGTCCTTAGCTACGCAGTAATGCTTGGCTTTGGATTTGGATTTTCATATGCGGTTATATTTTCGGTAGCAGCTTCTGTAAGTTCTAAATTCCGTGTTTTTATTATTTGAACACATTCTTCACGAGTCTGGCATGTTCCTTTTACGAAGATTGGCCTAGATTTTGAGAGCATATGTAACAGCGCAACGTCGTTCATACAATTTGCTTCAAACATTGAATTGTGAGGTAGCACATTTTTGGTATCACTTAAGTCACTTCACGCTGATTTAAATAAACCGTTTAACTACACACATGTTCCATGAGGTATTTTACTGTTTTTTGTCATCGAATAATTTTTATTTGTGATTTACCAGTTAGAATACAACAGCAAAATCAGCATTTTGGTTCACTTTTGAGGCAAGTATACCTGCGGCCTGCGTGATCGTTTATTTTGATGTCTCAGCAGCTGTAGTGCAAAAAATATTTACTTTGGTCGAAAAAGACAAATAAAAAAAGTGGACCTTTTGCCCGTTATGTCTGCTTTTAACCTCCCTTCATGAAAATTGTCTTCTTTCAGAGATAGCAATGCAATTCCGAATATATTAAGCATGCTCCCAAATATTCTTAGTTGTGTGCAGCCACTTTGGTGTATTTGATGTTCATACCACGAGTGTACTCAGGCATTGGGGGCAAAGTACTGATAGTTGTCACTTCATTATGCCGGGACGTTACTTCTTGTCGGGTATCACCTAGTTGTTTGGGATTAATGGTAATGTTTTCGCTACTCTTCATATCCTTCTCTTGGTCGATTTATTGAATAAGTAATTTTTCATATAGAAAATCTAGTGTGAGCACCTTTTCCTTTCGCAATTAATACGTGTCGGTACACATTCTATTCCTTAGATAACAATAGTTTTGATAATTTTTTATTATTCCGGATACTCAGTCACACACGTGTTGCCATCGTCACTAGTAAAGTCTCGAATTAGTGTGCTTCGCTTATTTGCATCCAGTTTTACCTTATCTCTAGGTATTGGTTAATTTTACTTCATTTTACCTCAGTTTATCCGATCCTGTGTCTGAAATCCGGGTATCTCGAACCCATCGCTATTGTCCTGAATATGTACTTGTTCATAGTAGTGTTTTGAAATTCCAGTTGAAGAAAATCGAGTCAAAATATACTTTGGCTATTATTCTCAACTTTTGTGCAATACCGTTTTTACGCTTTTGCCTTATGGTTCATCACAGCGTCCTTAGGGAAGGAAGTAATATCATCCAGGTAATAATTAAATCGAATTAATGGTTACAAAAATTTCAGTTTTTTGAATTACTGCATAATGCATAATCGTCTGCCAGACGTACTGCACTTTATGCCTGTTAACATTAAATGTCTGATCTAATTCAGATACTTTCTCCTAAAACATCCAAACGGGTCGGTGATTTAGCACTTTCTTCATTTGGCATTTCATCGGCGGTTTGAAGATTGTTTCTGGAAGTGGACGTTTTTTTAAACTGTGGGGAAAGAATGCGTGCGTCCTAATCTATATGAAGAAAAGGTTTCGCGCCGCCTTCTAACTCTGTTTGTGTTTGATGTCGCTGCTAAAGCAAGTTTGACTAAAACAGCATGTTCTAGGATATTTGCTTAACCATCACAATATACCGGTGAACGTCATTTCCACGGGCCCTACCCGCCTCAACGTTCATCAGCTAAATCATCCAGGCCACTACAAGACGTCAGTCTTCGTTTGTATGAAATTTCATGACGCGCAATCTAGGCATCATTCCTCTCGTCAATATCTCAGAATTTTCGACCAGTATCGATCTAGGTGACCTCTGAAGTGCGTGTTGCTTTTTGCCCCACTCTTTCTCTTGCCTCCCCAGTAGCTAGTAAAGAGTCCCAAGATCTTCATCGACTTAAAAACTTTGTGCCGTGCTATTAACCGTCTCCCCTGGACTAAGGGTTGTGGTTACTTCGTTTCGCTTAGCGTTTATTTAGCGCTTTTGGTTTTTATAGATTTAAAATCCTCATATAAACGGGTGCTTGCCGATCGTGTTACGGACACACTCGCCTCGCCCTTTGCCTTGGAGCTCAATCCCGAGCTCCGCCAGCAGCCGCATAGCGGCTAGTAGTATACCGATAAATACATTATATAAGCTTGGTGCAGGTTACAAATAGGATTTAAAAGCTTTGATTTTTACGAATTTTGGCAATATTAGCAGCAGTATGTTTAACTGGGGAAAACGGTGGGAAACAAGCATTTTTGTTGGCATTGAAATCCTAGTCGTAAGTTTGTACTGGTTTTCAATCGAATTGATGCGCCAAAAACGACCCAGATCAGTCCACTTCACAGTGGAAATCTAAGAATGGGCAACTGACCATAATGCTCCCTCTTCCCTATGTTGAAAACTGAAATCCCTTTCGTTTCGGTCTAGCTAGTACATGCATTGCCGTCTGTAGTCTGCGCGTTGTTCGAAACTTGTGCCTTTGATTAACCTGGTCAATATTAGACTCGAGACGTTCTTAGGGATCCATAGTAAATAGGTCCCTGAGGGAAAGTTGTGCGTGGCCAAGAAAGTGCCTTTATGAATATAGACGGAGTAATTATTAACAAATGGGTGAATAATAATGTTATCATGGATTTAAAAAATTTCGGCAGTTGTACTTTTACTGCACACCTTCGTTTTTGGCACAGAGTGCTTAATCTTATTGACAAGCATCTTGTTCCCATATTCGCATATCCTGTAATTTCAACTGTAGTGTCCGTAGTGACTTACATTCATTGTCTACCGGTCTTCCGCCATACGGCGCAGCGTCATCTTAGCAAAGGTTCCTCGACAAAATCCGTCCCTTCACTATTCTACTTCTGCTACCAATTGTCCTGAAGATGATAGAAGCCTCGGTAGCAGTCTTCTACCGAGCTGTAGATCTGAATCTTTACCTTTGGCTACCCATTATAATAAGCTACCTATTTTTTTCGAAATATACATTGTCCATTCCACAGTACTCCATTTCTTCCGTGGTTAGCTTCTGTGATATTTTTCAGCCTCCCGAGGGCAGTCGGTTGTTGTCTGTTTTCAATGCTCAAAATGGTCGTCCGCCTTGCCCAAATACATTTAACCTTTTGAAATTTCAGTGGTTTCCCGCCCGCCGCGGACTCATCGTCGGCACAATTGTCGGCGGATTTGGTCTTGGAGCGTTGGTCTTTACTCCGGTTCAAACTGCCTTTATTAATCCAAACAATGTGGCCGTAAACCAAACAACTGGGTAAGTTAATGTCCTCTTTTTGCCGACGAGATAACCTCAGTAACTAAACACCGCTCAAATCAGACATGATGTTTCGGTCTGTGCATAATTCCTACGTTTATAGCTATGAAATTTTGTGGACTCAAGTTTACTAACACTAATTAGTCTCCCTTTATACTCAGTCCGCTTCGCTTCCCAAGCTGCAGGCGGTCGCGAGGCCTCACACTACCTCACTTGTTCTTCTCCGACAGTGTCTGACCATTTAGCGAATCGCGATCTGATTAAAATAATCATAGTAGTGGATACTTCCTCGATCGATCCAGATGACGGCGACAAAAGCTCTTTGGGAGCTTATAATGACGAAACTCTGCTATCGCAGACAACTTGCTTTGGCACACCGACCATATTTGCTCTATTTCTCCAGTGATCTCTGACCTTAACCTATTCCTCCAGTGAGCCTTTCTTCTTGTTGGGCTCTTACAACGCTTTACATGTTTCCTTCGAGTTTCTAAGCGCCAGCACTGAAAAGATTAGACGGAGATGCGTGGCTAACTATGCAAAACCTGAAGACCGCATCAAACGTTTCTTCTCGAGGCCGTTTTAACTCGTATGAACGCGATTTGTCTAAGAAAGTTAACACCAGACAGAATGACATTTCGGATTGTTCTTATCCATACGTACGAATAGGGGGAAGGGACGTCTGCATCGTGAAATGCGGTTGATTATTTTCTGCCGCAGGAGTGTTTCTCGAATTCATCATCAGGGCGCAACGAAGAGATCGAGTCAGGAGGGCAAATTTGTCGGATGAGATCCATCCTGCGTCTCGCCGACTGACCGCACTGGACTTTGGTGAAAATCGATTGATGACCGGATTCCCACGCCGCGTGCTGTCTCAGATCGATAAATTAGTCATGCCGACGATCGACGTTTCTCCCTCGTTTTCAGTAGCGGACTTCCCATGGATACGTACCTTCCCATTGTTTTTCGATATCCAGCCGCTCACGGTTTCGATGAGAGAGGAATGCGCTTGTGAACTCAGAGGCTACTAGTTGTTTTTGCACTCAAAATATTGGTCTCGCCCTATGGTAAAATGATTCGTGACTGTCACTGGGGTAGCACAGGTTTTACTCAGCACTTACTCACACAACGTCAGAATGAAGATGTGTGAGAGGAGGAAGCCCTTTTCAGTTTATAAAATCCAAAGCCACTGTCAGCAAGCCACCATCTTGAGTTTTTTAAACTTCTGTGTGCTTTCAACCAGAACTTAGGGCGACGACACCCCTCCCTCCTAATCTCACTGAATGAAAGCGCGAATTTTATTGGTGAAACTACTCTTGAAACCCCCCATTTCCACCAGCCCCCCTAAGGCATTGAGCAACGTGCCGTTGTATTTTTCGCCGTCGACTTCCTCTATAAGCACAATTTACAGACGGTGAAATAACTCGGGCCATGCTATTTACCAATGCCTTTCTGTGAGCGGCAGCAGCAGTGGGGGAAATGTCAGAGTTTGTGAGTCTTTTGCTATAAGTGAATTCTGAAAACGAATTAGTGGGCGCGTTGACCCACTGTACTGTCGAGGATTAAGATGCGTGAAAAATTTGATTTTTGAACTACAGAGTTCCGCCATCCTTGCGAATGTTTTGTTTATACGCCATCCACCAACAGTCTCAATGCTGACTGTAGGTTCTCTGTTGAGTAATCGAATAACTACGTCAGCCTACAGTTCGACCGCTCACCGTGTGTTACAGAGGAAGGGGGGGAGAGAATGGCTTGTGAATTAGTTTAAAGTGATGGTAAACTTGCGCCGAATCTACTGCACTCTCTCCTTCTCCACCTGCACCCGCTGTCAAGCCTGAGTCAAGAAGACCGGAGACGGGAGAGGACGCAGGTGGCTGGCACGGCGCAAATCCGCACCTAGGCGTACCACCACCCTCCCTGGTCCACGGCATATACTGGCCAGGATTTTACACAGCAAAAGGAGAGGGGGCGGCTATGACCCCACGGATTGGGAGCGCCATAGAGACCACATTAAAACGGAGCCATAGTAGCCTGACTCTCAATCTGCCAGTCTGTGTCACCCCACACAAATCCACACCGGGCTGGCTGTGAGGTCTTACTTCCATTGTCATTTGGCAACCTTTCAAGCCATGGCAGTCAGTGCACCCTGACAGTCTCAGACTCGGATCCCACATGCAGCAGAGGAGCCACATGGAGAAGGAGCCGAGGAACGCGCTTCTACAACGCACACTGACCGGCGTGAACCGGCAAATGGACCCATCGTTGACACCACCAACGTTGACATTTCTTATGTGGCCGCATTCCCAATAACGTCTGCGGGGTCCCGATGTAGTCCGTGTTGGTCCAGCGCATTTATAACTTGGCCTCTATTATGGGCGCAAGTGCGTCAGCCACTAATGATTCCACCTACATTGTGTTTATTGGATCCCTTTACAGCCTTTTTGAAGGTTGGGCATGTGCCCATATTATAAAGAAATAAGTACCGGGTCGCTTTCACAACAAGCGCCTAGTAGTATTTTACACCACCATCTCCCTTTTTCTCTATTTTTGTGAACTGCCCTAATTGTGGACACCCCCGCTTTTTTATGCTAATAGCATGTTTGAAGACGAGGCGCTGTTGCAGCGAGTGCCCGAAGCCTTCCTCATGCTGGGTGGGACACTGGCCGCTCTGCAATTCATCGGAATTATTCTCTTGCGCCAGAAGCCCTCGGAGCCCGAGGTAGGAATAGGGTGACATTTTTATTGTTTTGCTTCTAGTTAACCTTTTAAAACCTCTTATTATGACGCCTAACACAGCCCTTTTGGTTGACTCTATTTTTCTCCTGCGTTAGCCCGCCTCACCGTAGACCTGTAGGATTTTTTGGTGTGTCTGCGCGGTTAGCCAGCCGGAGTGGGCGACGAAAGGAAAAGTATATTTAGTACGACTTGCCATGATCCTCATGGTCGTGACCGATTACTTCGGGTGCTCAAACTTACGTCCTGTTTAAAATTGTAATTAGCAGACACTCCCTATCTCATATTACAATTAACAAACTTTTTTCCTTTATGTTTCTATCTACCGACCCCTTTGTTTAAGTAGGCAAACGCGGAACTGAATTCCGCTTTCTGTCCTAAATGATATGCTAGGTATGGACCGGGGTTTGTTTTCGCTGTAATGTGTACTCGTTAGAATTTAGCCGACCAGTGAGCTTGCTTCTCAAAAATGCTGTTTTTTAGCAATGTGCTGAGATGTGAAGTGCGTATTCGGTACATGAAGAGGCTTGCTCGTAATTATTTTCGGTAATTTGCACCGTTTGTATTGATGTTAGAAGTTCAGAGACCGTCCACCTTTTATTTTAGTCGCCCTGAAATCGGCTTGTAGACAGCACACATGATTATCGAAACATGAAATTCATATACAACTATTCTACTTCCTTTAGTGCTTTTTGAGGCCGCGCGCAGACCAGGTAATGGAAGAGGGTTCTGCTGAAAGTTATGAGCCACCATGCCAAAATAGAAGTAGTCAACAACTATTCTGGAGTATTACTATACCTATTTCATATTCCCTTTTCCCCTCGCATTAGATGGAATCCGATGGATTTGCCGTGACATGTTCTGATGGAGACCAGAACACACCATATTTTCATACTTATCCGTAAACAGATCACCTGTGAGATTTCTGCTTCCGCACCTCGAAGGGAAAGCGAGAATAGACACTTGCGTCCGGTGATTTTGATAATTCTCGGTCTCAACCGACGCGGAGCCTGGTTTGTAAATCCGTTTGATGGCAATTTGCATAAACATTGGCGTTCAGATCGCAGGCTCCCGCCTGCGGTCCCGGGTGTAGCTGTAGTCAGAAATAACCATCCCAGTCGCATTCGCCTATGTCCAGTATCGTTCGTCATTATTGTTTTCGACAAAACAGTGCATGCCACTTATAATCCAGGTGTCGGAGTCCTGAAATTAAGCAAATGAAGCCGCCCATATGGAAAGCGTTTGAAGTTTCTAGCGCACAATCCAAAATATTTTGAAACCCATGTTTTTGTATATGCTTCATTTGCACTGAAGGCTGTTGGGTTTTTGCACCGTCAAGCCTTGACCGATCGCCTAATGTTGGGTTGAAACACGAGAGCTATTTAGCTATCTGAAAAACTCTTCGATGAGACACGAAAATAGGAATCTCCCCCCCCCCTCACCATCATTCCGGAGACCTTGCGCTAATTTCTTGGGCGGTTAATGTTAACGCTAAGGTTAAGTTTATGGTTTGGGTAAGATCATGATTAAGGCTGAAGTTATGGCTAATTTTAGGGTTAGGCTTGGTATTAAGGCCTGTATTAAGTTCATGAGTAAGGTTAAAGTCGGAGGTTGGGTTAGGTTTTTGGTTAAGATTTGAGTTATTGTTAGTGTTGTGTCTAGAACACTAGGATATTCGTCGTTTCTTGAATTCTGCTCGAAGCCACCTGAAATACCGAGTGGGATTTCCTATTCCCCTGTGTTATCAGCTGTTCTACATTAACCAATGCATTTGCTTGTTCTGTCTTACGTAGTTAACTGGAAACCCCCATCAGAATTCTTGAATGCTGCCGAACTCGTCTGGCCTGTGCCGCTCTCTTTTCCAAGCGTTCAGCTGTTTCTATTTCTTCGTTATAACTGGATCTCATTTAACAGGATCAGCCATCTATTTGGGGCACGTGCTTTATTTCGGGAACATCGTATTTTTGGCCAGAAATCCGCATAATTGTGGCAAGGTGGGGGCGTTAGGTACAATGAAACAGGCAATCTGGCCGACGCAGGTTCAGGAAAGTTGTCGAATTGGCATTACATGCCTCCAGGCCAACCGTGAAACAACGCGAGCACTGGACATGCTGTGAAGTGGAAGCGGTGAGACCGAAAAAGCAGGAGTTGATTGGTCAGAGACGAGCCTCCTACTGTACCACATGAAAAGCAAAACAGTCCAACATTAGTGCGTTTATTGTGGTTACAGTAAACCTGGCGACTGTGATGCTGGATTCGTCGAGCAAATTATGTCAGATTACGCCAAGAAATCACATGGAGAGTGAGGTGTGAAAAAATGGTTTAAAAACAGGACGTCGTTGAGCTTCCCTTGGTGTGAATTACTACAAAGTCAAGGAAAACGCTGGAATTGATTTAAGTACAGGCAATGATTTTTTCCTTATATGATGCTTTTCCATACCTTCCTCATTTTCCCGCTGTCGTCTTGACGGAGGAGGCCGATATGTGTCCTGATTCTTTTAGGTGCCTCTGATAACTGTGGAGGGGTTATTCCAACGGGCAGAAGTGTTTTGTCCGATATGTCCGTTTGAACCGGAAGCCGTCGCCCAACTGAGCATAAATTATTCATATTGACCCAACTGTGAAAAACTCGACGCCTCGGTGGAATTCGAACCCACGCAGTAAGGGGCAGGCTTCAGTACAGCCAACGCTCTAACTACCTGAGCTACGAGGCCCCGCCAGACGACTCGAGTTTTATCACATTTGGGTCAAAATCTGCCAAAATACCCATAAATTATTCGTCAAGACTCCAAAGCGTACCGTGGACAGAAGCAAGATCTTTACTAAAGTTATAGTACCGAAATGCAGTGGGATACAGCCTTAAGCTGCTTCATGTGACATTTTGGCTTCGGATTAAGATCCCTTTCGACCAACTGAGCAGACTTCATTCTTGAAATCACCGTTTCTTAATGCATTTTCAACTAACCTTGGGTTCTTATGGAAAATTAGTCGACTTATTATAACGGTTTTGTTTAAAATTGCGTGTGTGATCATACAACACTTGAAACAGGAAGTGTAACTATGTGGACAAATTCTAAATTCGGGGAATATTAGTATTTAGACGAATGTATTCCCAGCTTAAGACTGACAGGACCTTCGGGGCTGTTGAGCGCGTGTTCTTATTGTTGCAGATTTGCTAAAACACTTGAAGAACTTTACGCGTTTGCTTTCAGATAAAGAGTATTTTATGCACTTTTCGAATGTTTCGGACTGCTTTGCTACTGAAATATTGCAAAACATTCCGGTACCAAAACAGACGAAGTTTTAAAGTACGCACAGGCACACAAGAATCAAAATACTTCAATGTACTTTTTGAGCCAAGCAACGCAGAACATGATCGTGCGTTCATTATCCTCAGTAGCATGCTTGCTTTTCATAAGGCATCCTTATAAACACCAGTTTGAAATACACTTAGACAAAATAAATATATACAAAGTTTGCCTCCAATCTATGCTCCCAGAAAAGGAGAACGAGACTTTTTGGACTGTTTTAGACGAAATTACCTTCCCCAAATGTCGCACTCGACGGGAGCATTTTAGTCGGTTTATTAGAGGCTCTAAGATTTTCAAAAGTTGGCATGTTCGAGCTCGTCGATTTTGCGCGCAACCTTTACAGCGTGGTCCGTATTCATTGCAATTTTTCGTATGCAGCAAAAAACCGCAAGCGACCATGCGTGTGCATTTTGAAAGTTTTGTTCCAAAACGAAAATTCGGGTTTCTTCTCACGAAATACGAACAGTGGCAGTCATTTTTATGACCGAACAGTAAAAACGGTTTCATGAGATTCCCTTCCGAGAAATTCGACCATATTGTTCGCACAAAGATGTTTTTTGAGACTGTACACTACTTAAATGGCGCCTTGTTCTCGGTGCAGTTTATGCGGATGATTAGAAATATGTTACAAGTTTGGCTTGCTGTTGTGCATTGATTATCTTACAAATACGCTTCATGCCACTCGATTTCGCAAGCATATGTGGGTACTTGTTTTCATTTTAAGCACGTCACCATTTTTTACATTATTTTTACGAGACTTGATGCCTTCTATACCGGTAGGTAGTCATGAGGGTTGTCCACTCGAGTACAAAATGGCGATTAACAGAAAGGATGCAGGTCCTTACGCCTACTGAGCTTACTTTGCATGGTTATCAGCCTCGCATTTGCAGTTAGGCCATTTTTATTTCACTGACGTTCACTACGTATTTTTCCGCCTTAACCGGCGTTTTGTGGTAGAACCTAGTCACTAGAAATGCTCCAACACGTATGGAATTATTCCGGTTGCTAGAAGGGTACCTACGAAACTCACTCGCAACCCGACACTTCCCAATCTCGAAAGTCATGCCCATCAACCCATGAAATAAGAGCTCGAACACGAGTTTCAGATTTCTTGGAGAAGACCGCCTGCTTGCCAAAAGCCGCAAAGCTGCTTCCTGAACTTTATACTATAGCTGTCCCTGCTAGCTTTTTTGCTGAGCCACTGTTCTTAGTTCGATGCGAGCCTGTAACTCAACCTTTGCCAATGTTTAAACGAGTGCCTTGCGTCTTTCAGAAAAAGGGCTCGAACGCTGCGGCTACGAACTCGAAGGAGGTGAGTATACCTGCAGTTTGCCTTTTTCTGTCTTCCCTCTCAAAGCTTGGGCTTTCTGCGTGGAAGCATGTTTTTAGCATACAGGGCGTCCAAAAAGTCGCTGTGCCCTTTTAATAAATTCCTAAAAATGCGCACAATAAAATAAGTCTAATCATATTTTTACCATCAACAAGGGAGTCATTGCAGCTTTACTTGCCAGAGTTGACATCACGTTCCAACGCCTCGATGACTAGCCGCATGCCTCTGCATGTGCGCCTCCCTTTTTGAGAACCTTCATCCATATTCGGATACAGGCCTCTCCGATGTTTTGTAGCACCTCTTCCCCAACCTCACTGCGGTTCGTGCGGATTCTTTCCCCGAAATATGACAGATCACGAGGCATAGTCGCATCAACCTTGCTTTTGTTGTAGTTTTTTTGTTTTTCATTTATATATATATAGCACAAGGCGTTATGTTAGGATGACGTGGATCCCCTTCGAAGGGGACCTCTTTGACCGATCCATCTGTCAGGAAAATCTGTGTCCAGGAAATCCCTGGAAAAGTGGGGTGGATCTCCGTCTTGTTGAAAAAATGACATTAGCAAGGTGACCCTGAATTTGTGGAATAGCAAACTCCTGAAGCATCCACAAGTAATTTTCCCTTGTAATAGTGATCGTGTTACCGGATGCATCAGGAAAGAAAAATGATCCAATCAGCTCAGTGCTGGACATGGCACACCAAACCACCAGATTCGGAGCTTTTCGTTCATTCTCCAGAATTGCTTTTGGATTAGATTTTCCGTAAATTCGATAGCGGTTTTTGTTTGTTTGATCGGAGAGGTGAAAGATAGACTCGTCGCTAAACTGTAAGTTTTCCAAGAACTGAGAGTTGTTTTGCCGCTAGTGGAGAGGCGATTCACATATATTTCCACACCAGCATCATAGTATTCCACTTGCAACGTTTAAAGAACCTGAAGTCAGCACGGGCAAAGCTTGATCGCTCTCCGAAGCACCCGCTGAATCGAACGTTTTAATGCTGAGCTCCAGTGCAACTATCCGGATGAACTTACCCTGGCTTTGCGCGAGCGCCTGCTCCAGTAGTTCGATGTTATTATTATTCATAGTAGTAGTAGTGGTAGTAGTAGCAGTAGCAGTAGCAGTAGTAGTAGTAGTAGTAGTAGTAGTGGTAGTAGTAGTAGTAGTAGTAGTAGTAGTAGTAGTAGTAGTAGTAGTAGTAGTAGTAGTAGTAGTAGTAGTAGTAGTAGTAGTAGTAGAAGACCTTTCGCTGGGTGGTTTGCCAACGACAGATCCTGTTTCCAGAAATGTGTCATGGATAGCGTAAATTATGTTACTTGTTGAAGCAGCGTGACGCCATAGAGCTTTTCAGAATTTTGCTGATCCGCAGCCGGGGACTGACTCTGCTCCGAAGTCAATGGGCTAGTCATGGGCAAGGGAGTGGTGTGATTACGTAATTTACAAGGTCTTAACTGTCAAATGCTGACGACTTCACATTTTTCAGGGTGATACTTGAAAATAAACAGAAATAAGAAATTATAATGTGGGGTTCACTTTTATCAGTTCTGGAAATAGCATGTCCTCCGCTGCCTACAAGACATTCTTCCTCTTCCTTTAATACGGTGCCTGGTCGCAAAATCTATGAAATGTACAGTAGAAAGCTTTAGTTGATACTTATCGACGGACCGACTGCAAGTTCGATACTTTGACGCTGGTGGCGCTGGGACCCACTTATTGACCACTCTCCCGAACGGGCCGTTGAGGCCTTCTGTTTTCTAGACCTCTTTTGCGGGTTTTGCTGACTTCGAACATTATTTTCACCACATTCTCAGTGGCCTACTTGATAGGGCACCCGTCCGAAGAGTGGTTGACTGCGCTCTTCAAGGTCCAGCCACCGCCCTGAATCTTGGAGAGATTGACTTTGCGTTTGTTGGCCTATTAAGCATGCAAGAGCCCTCATTCCCTTCTGTAAACTTGGGAAGCTCCCAGATTATGATAATTCAGCTTATACAAATATAATTTTCAGAGAGTAGCCATCAAACCTACACGTCGTTGTAAGGTGTTTGGGAGGGTATTGGGGGATCAAAGTGTGTGTGTCGGTTTGGCGTATTTTTAGGCGACGGTTAGCCTTAACCCCTCATGTTTTGCGTCACTGTGCTGTGAAACAACGGGGGATTATTGGCAGTTAATCTATGTACGTCTGTAATTGTTAGAAGTCTTGTTGTCAGCCGAAGTTACCACGGCAGTCATTCGATGGGATTTCTAGCTGAATCTGTGAATCGTTATCTCGCAGTGTTTGGACCCCACTCCAGCCTACCTCTGCACTCCCTCCCAAACTAGTATGCAACCAATTTCGGAGAAGGGTTTCTCACTTCATCCGCTTAATCGGACGACATTTTAACTGGAATTTTGACGGATCCTATCTTGAGTGAAATACGTCACGCCACTCACTGCACGCTCTTAACACAAACGCGCACAAAAGAATGAGAGGAGATTCTGAAGCCGATTCGCTGATGGATTCATGTTCCTACGTCCGACAAACTCCCGTCTAGCAACAGCTCCTAAAAAGATAGTCCTGGGTGAGGCGTTCTCATTCTGGTTGGGCCGTTTGCTTTTCCCTTCCAAAGCTATTTTAGGCTGGTGTTGGGGGTGCATAATGCTGCTTTTGAATCTTTGTCCCTTGGGATAGCCATATCGTTACGGACGACGTGCGATCCAGCAACCGATAATGCACTCAGCCCTTCTCGCTAGCGTGAGTGCTTGCTCAGTGCGGTCGTAAAACTTGTTCTGCTTAGGAATTCAGTTCCACTTCATCTGTCGAGCTTCTCATTCATCAATTCTTAAGTAGGACTCAAAACCCAGTTCCTCATGCGTACACGCAAACTGTCATTCGGCGACACCACGCAGAACTTTGTCAGTCCAGTTATTCACTAAATGACAAATGTCGGCCAAAAATTAGGTGCATTGTCCCAGAAAAGGCAAAATCCGCTCCTGCAAACCTCGCATGCGCCCATCTGATAAGGCGCTTATGCAACGGGTTGGAAAAATCAAAAACTCATCTTATTCACCCTAACACGGGACGGACTACTAAACTAAACGCCAAGTAGAAGGATCATAGAAAGATTATTAGCTTGCTTTGGTGCGCCGACATTTGCCGGCTGGGACTTACTCCAACAGTCGACATTTGTCTAAAACCGACCTGGTCTGGTGAATAAAATTACGCAGTCCTCTGTTAAAGGCTCTTCTATGGAGGGTCTTTTAAATTGTCCCTCTGAGTGCAGTGAACCAGCGGTTCAACCACACTGTGAGGCTCAAACCCCCAGCGTACTCACAATGATAGCTGGAACAGTTCCAGAGAACCTTATTAGCCAGAACAGACTCTTGTGAACATATCTACCACATTAATTGGAGATCATGATTTTAAGCCTAATTTGGTTTTTCAGAAATCTTATTTATCCCCTTGGCGTTTAAAATCGCAAATAAAGTCACTGGCGACTCAACGCCCAGTTGCTTAAAGAACCAGTTAGGTTACGCTTCGATGGCAGCTGTTTCTGGTGAGTCGCTGGATGGAGCGAATGATCTTCAGTGAATATTGCCTTTCGAGATGAACACCTCTGTCAATTTCTGGACTTTTTACCTGGAAACCGTAGCCCTGTTTTACAGTGAGCCAGAAACGTGAGCAAGCCGTGATGCACTGTTCGCCTACGGGGATGAGTATTTGTAGCTCCTGTATTCGGAAGGAGACGCTACCATCCGGCTTGAGGTTTGAAGGATTTCTTCCTAAGTCCCACCGCTGTAAGCAGGATTACGGCAGTTAAGAGGTAGGATACTGGTCGACGATCGCCTCCGGAAGTCATATTTCCGCTCAAATGTTACTTTGCCGACGGGTTAAGAGTACGTGGTTACATAACCTGATTTCTCTGCCCGCTTCTCTGTAGGAGCTGAAACCCTTATCGAAGGCAGGTGACGAGGCGGAGAAGAATGCAGACGCCCAAGAGAGCGTTCGCGAGGCAGAGTAAGTCCGTACTTCGAATTAACTCGGCTCTTTATCCAGCACCCGTCGTGCCGGTGATGTAGAAATACAGGCTCCCCCTGCAACCGTTGGTGAGAGCATGCACTCTCTTCACGTCTCCCATACCAATCTCGCCCCCGCAATGGATGAAAAGGAGAAGATCCGTCGACAGTCCGTAGCTCCGCCTGTGTAAGTCTGACCATCATGCACTTTTTTTCTTTCACTTTGAAGATGTTTATCTGCATCTCGCTTCGCGCTCACTTGCTTTGCTAATTGCCGTTTTTTACGGAATTCTTGAGCGCAGCCAGTTAACTGATGAATAACTATAATTGGTTGATTTCACGCCTGCTGAGAAAACCTGCTGGACTCCAATCACATCGAGATTTGCGCAATTGGGCCTTTTGGTGGCGGTAACAAAGTCCATCCATTCTGGCGGCCATGCTAATAAGCGGAGGGCAGTTGATATCTCGGCGTCGTGTAGAGTTAAACATGGCCGAAACCGAGAGCGGGACAACCAACTCCCCCAGTGATGTCTCCTTCCTAGTCCTGATGTCTTTTTCGGCGGTTCACTTCCAAAGTTTGTTTGGGCATTTAATACTTTGTTTTATTGGCCAGATTTAAGTGCATTGGGGAAGGAAGGCATCTCGGTCGGTCCAGGAAGACTCGGGATGCTTCCCTAGCGCATCCAAATAATAGTCGCAGCCACTACGGACATCTGCGATGCATTCGGAATATGTCAATCTTAGCGAATGCGTTTTGCCTGGTAACTTCTTCCTAAAAAGGCTACAAAATTCCTCCGTCTTTACGTCTGCTATCTTGGTCTGTTATCCCCTTGTGATGGGTTTCATAGTCTGTCCTAGAAGTGGGGCTAATAAGTCCCTTATCCCACTCACCAGGTCTTATTCTCGCTACAGCAACGCCAGGAAGACACTGAATGTGCGTCCGTGAGACCCGCAACGCAGCTGTTGTTGTTCTTGGGCAGGAAATTACTCCTGTCAGCACCATTCGCCCTTGACATGGCCTATCACAACGCGCGAGGTAAGACCATCAGATCGTCCAAAAACGCGGTTAACCGTGGCTCGACAGATAGTGTTTGCGCGGGATGCTTTGGTGGAGGGAATTTGCCTAGTTCTTCGGACCTGATAACGAACGTCCCCATTTCCCCCCCCCCTCCCTTCCTGCCACCGATACAGCATCTAAAGTTGTAATACCGTGCAGGAGTAGTGGCAGTTGAAGCCTCATTGAAGGATGTGCAGCATTCGCTATCTGGCCCATTTACGGGTAACCTACTTCTCAGACCGGCGTTTCACCACACCTGAGGGCAGTACCACTGCATGGGCCGTGACCGCTTATTTGTCAGATCCGAGTGCCTGCTTATTTCGCAGCTGGACTTGTCGGAGGGCATTTCACTTTCCGCCAACCGTTTGCGTCCCGGGTAATCCACAGGTAGGTAAGCAGGCAGGTTCCACCTTTCCGGGCGAAAATAGGATGAGTACTCTCCCGTGTCGAAAAACACGGGCTAAATTTCAAAGCAATGGATAATTCCCTGTAAAATGGCTGTTTGAGGTCTATGCCTTACTCATCTTTCGAACTAATTATAATCAGATTTATACAGGTATCACTATATGATGGAAGATATCCATGTTTATTCAAGTGGATTTCAGAATGCCAGGCTGGATAAATTGACTTTTAATGGCCAGAACTGGCCATTCAAGTTTCCCTTGCCGGTATACTCATTAATAGTCGCTGTGCCACTGCTTACGGAGCTGTAGGTCGAGTCCTAACGCCCCATAGTGTGATTGGTGAGCTCCCTTTGTCATAGTTAATACATCTGATCGCAACCCACAGGACAACGAGCCCCTGGCTCATTGATTAGAGCATTGGGCGCCCCTAAAACGGTCCACTCGACACAAGGGCTGCATCGAATTCTGGCAGACGTCATCGAGAATGCGCACCCACAACAAATGCCGAAATTCGGGGGGTAGGGGTGGCAAGCCCAGTTGCAGGCTCGCGCCGCGCCAACTGGGATCCCTGCTGCCTCTCTTTTTTGCCGTTGTTGAAGACCCTGGCCATGCGTTTGTTGTAAACCAGAGGGTGTTGCGGTAAGCCTAGGTAGGTGCGGGTTTTCACTGTGCCAGCCACTTGCACTCTCTCCCACCTTCGGTCTTCTTGGTTCTTGAATCCAGGTCGGGGATGATTGTGGTAGATGTTGCGCAAGTCTACTATTACTATAAACTAATTCACGTGCAAGTCACCATTCCTGCGCCAGTTCTGCTGTGGAACACACGATGGACGTCGTCGGAAACAACGGTCGAACTGTCGGTTAGAGTTGAACTTCTAGCCAACAGGTCGCAGGCTCGAACCTCACTGGTTGAGTATGACTGGCTGATAACGGCTAATAAGCCAGAAATGTATATTCCAGTCTCCCTCGTCTTTGTCAGTATACTCATACCACAATTTGGGGTTTTGTACGCAGGGTATCAGTACTGCAACTTTACTACCAGAGTACATGTTACTTGAGACCACATTTTGAGACCTTCGGCGACGCACGCGCTGTATATGTTTTCTGATCTGCCCAAACATATCATCATGAAACCAAGGAGGGGAGGGGGGTATGTGCTAACTCCGCAACATTAGCTCACTTTCGAAGACGGCGAGACTTAAACATAACCACTCCCCTGAAATCTTTGCTTACACGGTTTTTGCCTTCATTTGTTGGGTTAACGTCTACATTTGGTTTCCAACTTCGGAAATGATAGTTTGGACAGTGCATTCACCATATCAATTTCCTTGAACGACAGTGGTTCAGCCGACGCTCGGCTATCCACCCCGGCTTGGTAGGAGTTCCGCGGGGTAGTGAAGGATAGTGTTTTCTCATCATTTCATAGACGGCGTTTTCCAGCCCCTAGTAACCCGCTTCTTATGTTTTTGGTTTCGTTACCTGAGTGGTGACTGCCTTGAAAACAGGGACACACACACAGGCACGTACTGTGAGTATGCGAGGACAGTGCTGAATCATTCGCTGCGTTCATTTCTTGTGTGGAAAAGAACGCTTGCTACGTCGCCAACCGTTGCCCCACAATTCGGTCGTCCAACGCCTCGCCGACGCACAGTTTTGGACTCTGGCAATAAAACCGAACAGTCGCAATTTGGGAGGGGGGCAGAAATCGTAGCAGTTAGAGGCAATTCGCTTCGCAGTTTGCGCAGGTCACCCTTGGTGCAGAGTTTTATTTTCAACCGTCAGCAGATCTATGGAGGCCAGAAGTCTAAGAGTGGTCACGCAGTCTCTCTACCTACCGTTATCCGCCACTCCTATCCGAACGAAATGTCTGATATCTTTTTTCATCCGAGCTAGAGACAGTCATCAGCATGGTAACAAAATCTCAAGGAAGCAAACGGGAGACTATATGAAGTACTGTCAGGTTTTATAACCTGCTGCTGCAAGTTTATTTTTGACTGGCATTTTGTTCAGTTCAGTCTCCGGTCCATTTGAAAGGCCGTCCAAGCGCGACTGGAACACGCCACGCAATCAATGCAGCAATACTCAGACTTGATCACAAACTTATTAAGTCAGCAGCCAACACTTGTCTCATACTATCCCAGGCATGACTTAACACCGTCAGCAGGGGCTACGGCATCGCCAGTGAACACTGCTGCCTGGGACAGCAGTGCGAACTTCCTGTGCACAATAAATCCGCCTTTTGGCGCCTTCTGTCTTTTCCCGCTAAACGGGACTTGGCTGGATGATTGGTGGCGTTCTAGGCATTCCCACTGCTTCCACGCCACACATCTACTGGCTCTTTGACCAGCTCTCGCGAACTTCCAATACGTCTCCACCTTTGTCAATCACTAGATAACAGATCGCATTTCCTGAAGTGTTGGACAAGCTGTAGTGTTTCAGAAGGCTTTTCCGTTCTCTCAGTAATTGGCCGTTCATCCACCGTTTTTCGCCGAGGTTCAACATTGTCCGCCGATGCCAGTGTGCCATGATGCGTAAGAAACTAGGGAAGTTTAGGCAGAATCGGCCTCATTTTTGTCTATATCCCACTACGTCCTAGTGGGAGGTCAAAGTAACGTTGTGGAGAAACGGCACTGGAAGCTTACCGTCGCTGGCCGTATATGTACGTCCCCACCGATGCTCACACTTCAATGCGTGCAGCGCAAGGAACGTTGTCACACTAAGCGCATGCCTTACGCTACGCGACGCATTCAAAATGTCCCAGCAAATTCCACTGCGCACAAAAAATCCTGCTTCCCAGTGTCACCAGCAGCAAGGAGAAAGCGGATTGGCTAACGTCTGCGACATCTTACTTTTACGGATTCGGCGATCCGCGACAACTGTAACTGTCCATTCCAGCTGTCAAATACAATGGTTACCAGACTAAGCAGCTGGAATACCTGGGCGAAAAGTACTGTGATGCTGTGTCTTCTCAGAATGTGTTCTTTTGGATCAACGTGCATGCATTTAAAGTGGCAAAACGCAACCCTCGGTCTTACAGTTCAAGTCGTAGTCCTCGACAGCAATCTCATGCTGAAGTTGACTTCATTGAGCCAAATATGACGGCTGCGTGCTGAGAGGTTGCGAAGTGCAAGTCCACCAATGCATTTGGCGGGAGACGTCAGTGTATTGATTATAAGATCTCGCTATTACCGTGACCGTGCCTTCGCCAACAAGCCCAGACAGCCTCGACTAAGCCACATCTTCATGTGTGGCAGTTACCGGGAGGGAATCCTCGTGGGTGTAAAGTCGTTTAAAGTCCATCCAACCGTATCGACGAGCCTGGAGTGACCGCACTGCTGCAATGTTGACCCCTCCCCCGCCCCCTCCCACAATATCCACTACACCACCGGGGTTGCATAACGATGACAAATTGACATTTAAGAAGGCAGCCATGGTTATCCAAGCCTCTGAGTCCTGTTCATGACTGCACTCGATAATCCTAACTGTAGAACGTACGTACCTCAAAACAGAGCCTTCGTCTACCTGAAGTAGAGTGCATGTACCCTGCCTCAGATGCGCCCATATGACAGGCAGCAATGCACTTGTCAGAGGCAGCTTTTCAAATTTCATAACCAAAATATCCTGCATATAGACTTTCTAGCCGGAGCAGTATCAGAGTGACGTGCGACGGCTGTGTCAGTGGCCATATTGACATTTAGGCAAGATCTTATTTCGTGGCCGTACCTGTTAGGGGTCGGGTTAGTTTTCAGGGTTAGGAGCTAAGTTTGGGGGTTGGGGTTAAGGCTGGGGCTTGTCTACTGAAGGTACGGCTACGAAATAAGATCCGACCGACATTTATGTATGAATAAAAATTTTGCGCAAAACAGGTTTTTGTGAGTTGTCTGATCGGCTTTCCACTAATGCTTCCTCGTTTGGTAGAGAATGTTGCTTGTTTCTGAATCAAAATAAGCGCTCCCTTGTGTCGCAGTTTATTAGACCTGAGTGCGTTATCAGGAGCTAAAAGACTGTCAGAATTTGTGAAATACTTGTAGCTTAGCTTATATACGCAGAGATTAAAAAAAAACTAGGGATGAATCGAAAGCTATTGAGTTGCGGCTGGCTCGCAGGGCAAGACACTCGGAGAAAAATCCGACTTTTGCTGATTTCGCTAGAATTAAATCCTCGTCAGACCTTTGACATGTTATAAAATATGGTCTGCAGAGGCAACGGTGGCAGGCGAGTCTTAGAGAAGAAAGTTGCGTTTTCTGATTGCCCGCAGGTTGATATGCCCTGAAGAAGTACGGCGGTTCGGAGGAAGCATTTGCATTTCACTCATTTACAGCACAGAATATCGCCACTGCTTAGTCCGCGAGTCCCCGTGAGTACTCGTCAGGCTGGTGTTGATGCGAGAAACCGGCTAGTTCGTATCCCCCGTCTTAAAGCGTCTGTAGTGTTAAGGGCCGTCTAGCAGACCCTCTGCCCCGTTCTGATCAGTAGAGGACTCAAGTGGAGCGAAATTTCGTCAGCAGGCGAGATATCAACCGTCTGGGCGACCGAAAGCCAGCACAGGGCCTGTCAACTACCATTCACGTGCAGCGGATCGCAGCTTCTGTCGATAGACGTTCACGTGAGGTGGGGATGTATGACATTGTCGACTTGGCATGAATCCCGCGCTCGCGCGTAGGTCAGCCGACCAGCATGTCCCTGATCATGTGTCCGGGTGTTGGTTCAAAAGGCTGACTAATCAAAGGGCAACAACAACGCAAAATCGTTGGCCTTAATTACAGTGTAATGTGCGGGGGGTTTTGATGCTGCCGTACATATTATTGATGCCGCATACAATTGGCGGCCGGGCATTCTCTCTCGATCATCACTTGCCATGCACCTCCTACCCAGCACCTGAGTTCTTGGCCCCCATTCAGGTCTGACGCGACTTGAGTGTCTAGGACGGCCAAGCCCTCCCATAGTCGCTTATTCGTGCCGTTAATAAACGGTTAAACAGAGTTGTTGCGACCCGCCTGTCGGCCGTCAAGGTTTTTTACTTAGTCCGACCTTCAATCTTCCAAACTTACCATGACATCTAAATCTGCAGAAAGTTCCTAAGTCGACCCTAGGATTGCTGAAGTCATCTGTCATCATAGTCGTCTGTAATTGATACTGCATCATCTAGTTGGTGACCGTCTTCATCGACGCGCCTACCACTGCATAGTGCTGCATTTGCGACCAAACTGATTCCTTATTTTTAGTTATCAAAAGCGGTCTTTCTAGGCAAAACACATCCCAGCTCTCATCGCCGCTGCGGAGGACTGACAAACAGGCGCTAAGAAGGAGACACGATCGCTGGAACAAGAGTTTTATTAGCCTGACGTTTCGGATTCTCACTCGAATCCGTCATCAGAGACAGAGACAGATAGGGGTGGTAAATTGCCCAGGTGTTGCAATATTTCTAGGAGGTAATTGCTACGCCATTGCACGCCTATCGCAGTTGGCAGCTCCCGTACGTGAAAAAAGGCTCAGCAGCCGTCAGCCGCCTTCTCACATCCTTTAGAATTGGAGTAGCGCACAGACCGGAGACAACCATAAGGCGCCAGATTATGAGGCCGAAAGACCCATTGCCACGGCAGGAAACATCTGGATTCGTTTACCGTGCGTGGTGCAGCTATGGACAAAGCAACTATGTCGGGGGAACCGCAGGACTACTGCGAACGCGAATGGCCGAGCACGCAGCAGCGGTGAGGAGAGATGCCAGCTCCCAAGTCGCGGCTCACTCGGCGGGACCCACATTCGAGTTTTACGAAGCAGAAATTCTTGCTAGAGGTGGCGGCAACGATCGGATGAAGGACCCTAAGCGCACACGACCAGCCAAAGGTGGCAATAGGGTTTTATTACGAGCGGGGCCTATGTATGCATAGTGGAATAAGTATAGACAATTGGTAAATTTGTTTATCAGGCGGAAAAATTTTAACGCATTGACATATAGCAACCTAAATTAAGCAGTACACTAAAGAAAACAAACATTAGGTGTCTACAAAGATCACTCCTCATCTCTCTGAGCTGAGGTAATTGTAGATAATGCACCAGACCGTCTACAACAGACGACCCAACTTTGCAGGATAAAACACCAAAGCGAAATAATCGTGTCGGACTAAAACCCACTTAAATAAGTATAGTAGGTATTTTTTGTATGCCATAGATGCTTGGGGTTCTTCAACCGATTCTTGCCGAGGTGACAACCGTGTGAGCCACGAACTGCTCGAGTCATGGTTTTTCAGTCTTTAGTCAATCAACAGGCGCAATGTCCTCCCCGCTCCATATTCAACGCTGAGACTGTCTAGGCAAAGTAGTTAGCGGCAAGGACAGCGTGCGGATGACCACTGTTTCTGGTGTCAGTATCGGCGAGCCAAATTGCCCAAGAGCCCACACGGATGCCAAAATCCGGTAGTCAGCCCCTCGGCGGCGTGCGATGAGCGTGGGAGCCGATAATCTTGACTGGCTTACAGGCGCATAGCAACAGCACAGCAACGTCATACTTCAACACCTGGCCAGTCGAGCTGTGATGCACTCGGGAGCTGCCAACTTTGATAGGCAGCAATTGTAGGCCTAACAACTAGATCCTATAAATACTGAAACACCTGGGCAATTCACCACCCCTATCCGCATATCTAGTTGTACTGACTGCTTCACGTTGACTTGCAGCACGTGTTTCGCCGATTCTGTGCCGTTGTGTGACGCGAATGCGATAAGTTCGGCTCGTCAGTGGGTCTTTCCGGCGTTCTCGTGTGTTGAGGCCTTTTATCCTCTTAAAAATCAATTTATACATTTAGAGTAAATTATCTGGCACAAAATTTTCAAGTGTGGTCCGAAGGTGTACATGAATGTTTTAATTGAAATCCACTAGCTTCTGGAGAATAGCCGCGTAGTTATCATATTTCACCATCTGGCAGTCAGTAGTATACGAGTGCTGACTAAAATGTCCTGCCCATAGCCAAACGCGTGTTCCGAGTATGGTAAAGTCGCGAAAATTGCCATGGCAGTATTCAGAAGATCAGTTAGCGAACGTGCGTTTGCTTTTGATAAATTTTTGTCAGGCCAGTACATTTACACGGGAACTGGGTGTAAGTAAAACATGTCAGTAATTAGAGAAATCGATTAAGGTTCGTCTTAAAGCACAGGTGGGGTTTGTGAATATGAGGGGAGGGTGAATGTCAATCAATGCCAGAGCGGAGGAGAGCTGCATGTAGTTAGTCGACTTTTGACCACGGTAGGCGCGGAGCCTGAACGAGGCCGCTGCTTCTGCTGTTGCTGACAGACGCCGGCCTGGTAGCTCGACGGGACCTTACAAACCACAGGAAAGTCGTCACTGGGTCAAAAACATGCGCGAAAATGGCACTGTTTATGCTCCAAATTTTGCCTTTTTCCAGCCATGCCGGAGGTGTTCTCGTATTCTTTTGGATAGGGACCGACTCATGCGACCACTTTAAGCTGCTCCACAGGAGCAAGTGAAGAAGTAGATGCATATTGATGTGGTCTGAGTTGGCTACCTATCCGTACCTTTTCCATGTAAAATGTGGTTAGTAGAGAATGGTACTCGACCCTTGTTACTGGGAGGGTTTGTGAGAGTTTGGCGAAGGCGTCTTCTTAGGGGTTCACTCGCAGAGTCCCCTTGAAAATGGACTTTGAGGAACAGAGTTTTCTTCTCGGCAGTCAGTGTAGTGGGGTTTATCCAGTCGCTCAGCAATATCCTTCACAATAAATCGACTGGCAGAATGTTCAGCCCAAATATTTCTACCAAACTTCGGAACGAGGTTGGGAAGGCTTTTGCTGAAAAATCGTCTCCGTATTTGCACACTGACTTCTGCGAAAGGTAGTTGTCTCTAAGACAGTGTTGCCAAGTGAAAAGCAAGGACGGCTGAATGCAGAGGACGGACTGTAATGCGCTCAAAGTTCTGAGACCAACCACGGAGAGATGACGAGCTAGCATTACCTACTGACACATTAGGATCAATCCGTCTGATCGACTTATGCGTAAGTGCTGTGAGTTCCCACGATAATTGACTAATCTTATCGATCGTAGGACATCCCGTTCGTTTGTGCGCCTGCTGACGAAAGGGGAACAGCGTATTTTCGGCCTCGCAGTAGCGGCGGGCCTGAGAAGCTCGCAGCCCCTTGACAGTACGCACTACCGCAGGTGGGCCGCCACTTATTTTCAGAGTTTGCCCTCAATGGAGCTTCAGAGCATGCTGCAGCCCTGTGTTTCGTCTACTGTGGTCTACGACGACTATATGTGGGTGTAGGGTACGAGTAGTTTCGTTGCTCATACATCGAATGCGCAGTTGCCGCGGCATCTAGTCCGAATTCAAAGTATGTTGGGAATAAAGGACGATGTCGACTCTTATCCGCATTGCGGTCTCGTCATGTCACGTCTTTACCCCTCCCCCCCCTCCGCCCTGGCCCCCTTCGGACGAAACTGTTTTTATTTTCGTGACAGTGCCCTTCCTGTCTAGCTAATGGGGGTCTTTGAGAGTTCTTTGTCAAGGGACCGAAGTCCTTGTGTCGCTTTTCTTCCTTACTTGGACACGCTTACGTAGCAAAACTTTCGTGAATCAATAATTCGGAAGACGCCAGTCTGACATAATCGGTTTTCAGTGCAGTTGTAGGCGCTGTGAATGTGTGTCCATTTCACGGTTTAAGCATGGGAACTCTTCGCTTTATCAAAGAACATTATCGGAATGGCATCGAGATCATCTGGCGCGTAGACGAAAGTTTGGGCGTCCTACAACCATTGGCCTTCACCGAACTAGCATCTGAGATAGTCTAGCTGACGTATTCAAATTTTACCTGCTCTACCTTTCTGACTGATGGACTTTTCATTTGCTCTCTGGTTTTGTCTTTGTGTCCGGGGATTAGTGTACTACTGTCTGTTAATGCCAGCTGGGGAGTAAATAAACATGCATGTCTTCCATTGCTGATAACCTGTCGCTGTGGGATGCTTTGCAAGACCCTAGCCAAACGCTTAGAGACTGCGTCTGCCCACATTTTCTTCCCGGCTGACTTTGGAAGAGTATTTGGACCCCACTGCTAAGCGCACATATATGTGGGAATCTAAAGACTTCATCCACCAGGTTTTTGCGGTTTTGGAGCACTGCCCAGTAGAGCCTCACTGTGACCATTTTTTGATTCTTTACGTGTGCCTGCGTTTTAAAGATGCCGGTAAGACACCGGAGTAGCAACTCCCTCGTAAAACAGGTGACTGCCTTAAATTGCAGTGAGATTAGGGTTGGGGTAAGGGCGGCGTCAAGGTAAGGGTTAAGGTTGTAATAAGTGTTAGGGTTATATTCAAGGTTTTGGTTTGAGCTACGGTTGATCCAAGGTCAGGGTTATGACACGAGGTAGGTACCCTTCCTAGAACTTAGCTCGGGACTACATGTATTAAGGGGGTGGAAGAGAGGGTTCTATTCCTATATCCTACCTAGATGCCTAACAAGAAATCGTTCGTACCAGGATAAATCGTTTTCCTCTCGGTTGGTTGGTCCCGCCCTAGCCGTTGCTCATTTCTGCGCATTAAGCGCCTGCTTTATCTTCTTCCGTGATATCATGCACTTTTTCTGAGCTGTTTCACGCTCTGTTTGGCCCGTTTCCTCCATACATCCCCATTTCCGGCCATAACTGTCCATTCGACTTTTTCTGTTGTTCCACTCATCCTACGCAGGGAAGTAAAGTAAGAAGCTGTTATGGTTGGTGTTTTTTCAAAGGTTTGCCAGTTGGTTTCTGTTGTTTTGCATACGAGGATAAGCCCGTTACATTTTTGTCAGATCCTCGTTATGTTTTACACTTCTCTGCGGTGTTTCCACCACCAATGTAACCCAAAATCCCAGACTCGTCTTTACAGATGTTCTGTGTGATAACATGGAGCAACTACGAGGACTCCGTCTGTGGCGTCTGCTGATGATAAGCGTGGGATTTTGTCTGAAAATAGTGGATGTATTTGGCAGAACGCATGCCGAAAGCGCTGCTCTAAACCATTATTTGTGGTAGTATCAAGTTACGTTTAGACCCTTTTCCAAGGCAACGTACTCAATTTGCACTTTGGATCTGCGAACTGCAGACGGCTCTCGAATTTACAGTTCGATCACTGTATACGGCTTTTTCGCCTCGACGTCGCAAGCCTCAACTAGCAGCCACCCGACGGGCCCGGCATTATTTCAGCCTACGGTCGGCCCCAGAGTTTAGATTTATTGAGCACTTTTATAACCAAGCATGTAGTTTTGGAACTAAAGTTGACTGTTGTTCTTGTTAAGTGTGACATTTCGTGGGAGGTTTTTTTTCTTTTTTTGGTGACTCCATGCAAGATGAAAGTTTAAAGCTGACAATCCATAATCCTATCGAATCTACGGTCATATAACCTGAACAGGACGTGTCAAGTCCGGCTCCGGTGTTTATGTAAACATTTCATTTGCATACTCTCGAAAGTCTGTGCTTCTAAATCTAACAGTAGTACGTGTCGTGAACTTGGTTCTTTTATCATAGTTCCGAACAACGGTTCTAGCGAAAAAACCATGAACGTATTTTGTCGATTTGCTGTCCTCGCTTGACGCATCTATTAACGCTCAGACTCCTCAGTGTCCCACAATGTCTCCTTTGTGATCCTCGCTATAACTCCACTTTTTGAAGTGTGGAGTTAATAATTTCGTCTGTACCCAGTAGATGCACGTGAAGATTTCCAGGACACAATATTCTAATCCCGCAGATGCTTTCTGAAAAATTTTAAGGGCGCTATTTAAGCACTTCTCTTGGACACCGCCCACTGAGCCCGATTCACACGCATACCGGTTGCCGGCGCCTGTAACGCCCCAATATCCAACCTTCATCGTCTAAATTCGCAGAATGGGGGTAGGTGATTTGATCCAGAAAATGACTATCTCCGTCTATGCCCTCAAACTAGCATGTGGAGTAGGAAACAATGTAGGAAAAAACGCCGTGTAGAGTTGTCCTTGGTAAATTGTTTTGTTTTCCATGCTAACCTCGTTTGACTAATGCGAGTTCGTCTAGATGGTCTCTGAACTAGTGTCTCTCCATTCCTTCTTGAGCCAACCGAAAAAGTGCAGCACCAACACAGTGCTTGCGTCAAAAGCATGTCTGAATTAGGCTGTGTGATTGGACAATTTATCAGGATAGAGAGCCGGGCTCCCGTCCTTCGCTAGAGTACAGGTAGCTAAAATGTCTCAGCGCTCTACTCTGACCAAGAAACCTGCAACTTCAAGGAAAGTGTTAGAAGTGACAGTTTGACCGCCATTTCTAACTATGTCCAGCGTAGGGACGGTGACTCAAGCGTTATCTAGCTTCCAATGGTAGTAGACTTGCACTGCGTCTACCGCACTATCTCTTCTTCCACCCTCCTGGGTCCGGCGTCAAGACATAATCAAGACGACCGGAGGAGGGATCGGGCGCAGATGACTGGCGCTGCCCGCACCCGCGCCTAGGCGTGCCACCACATCCCTGGTTTCCGCACAAAGAACCAGGATTTCACACAAGGGGGCGCCTGGGGTCTCAGTTGAGTGGGTGCGCCATAAAGACCACACTAAGCTGGAGGACTTTGCAGTTTCACTTTTCGTCCTGAGAGGAGGATCGAGTTGTCCAGTCACCTGGCAGCCTTGCTATTTACGATGTTTTTCTCGTTCTAGTAAATTCCGGTACCGCAGATAGTTTATAGTGAAGAATAGGCGCTAAGAGTCGACCTCACTCTCTTGCCTCTCTCAGGCACCAGTCCACTTTCCGAGCCGGTCAGTTGTCTGAAGCGGGAATGGGGCGCAGTGGATAACGTAACCTGAGAACTCGACTACGCGTGCCACACACACGACAAATAACTATTCAATCGCGATGTCTTATTAGCCGGTTGTAGCATTTAATATCCTCATATTCTGCATTGGATGCCTAGGCTGCCGAAAAAAGAATATACCACGTCGCGGATTGTCACCTTGTGTACTTGGATTGACTCACGTCTTGTGATCTAGCCTATTCTATAGCAGTGGTTCGAGATACTGCCTCCCACAACTGGTTGCGCTGGATCCGCGTGAGCCCTAGACGTAGACCCTCATGCCGTGTCGGCCACTGTGCCCAATCTCATCACCCTTTGATTGGTGGGCCCGGATAGTCGAGTGGTGCCTGCGATAGGCCGACACTGGGGAATCCACCTCCACAGCACACCAACGCCATCCTCCATATGATCCACCTGCCGCGCTTGAATTTATAATGGCGCGTCAACACTCGTGACTTGGATGGCTGCTAACAGTCACGATAACCCGATTCTACTCAGAACTGAGAGTTAGGCGGCTGTAATTAAACCTTCTTAATGTGACTTCCACGACATTCCGTCATGCTTGATTCCAGCCGCCCTCACATAATCCAGTTACTTGCACACTTCGCCAGCCACTGTGCCTGTGTCTACTTCCGATCACCTTAACATTGTTTTGCCGTGTAACTAAGGTATGTTCGGAAGGATTGAGTGCGGTCGGTGCTGCACAAGTCAGTCTCACTATGAATCACTTCACGCGCAAGTCTCCGGTGCTGAGCCCACTCCGGCGGATGGAGCGGCTAGCAGTCGGTCTGTTCTGCACATGAGAGGGTAATAGCATTCGCCAGAATCGATTCAGCCGACGCCATATTCCGGTCCAGCCTCACCACGGAAGACGGCTCGTCTTTGCGTGAGTCGGCGGCGAGCTTCCGGGCAAAGTTGAGCCCTTCCGCGCATTGCAGCGCAAACCTCGACCACGTGATCTGAGTTACGTTAGTAATCAGCATGTCTACCAAAGTAATCTGTTGGAGACTCGTTGTTTCGTCTGCCCGTTCTGTTTGAAGAGATGGCGTAAAGATTTACGTGCCTGCTGTGGTGCTGTGTCTAGCTTCTTAACAGGCTGCCAACGCGATGTGCCGATTAATGAGCTCCGCTGCTATCTGTCGATGAAAAGGAGCTAGCGGCGGTAACTGGGGCATTTGCTGGCCGCGGACGCTATACGCATTGAGTTACACTGCATTCTGTAGGCTAGCAGTCGTACTAATGGAACCATCCTCCACCACAATACGATGTGGGCGTAGGCACCATGGTCAATCTCCATCGACTGCTCTGAGGGCATTACTTCCGGGCAGCACTGTTTAAGTGCGAATAGCATGCGGCAGACGTGCTTCGAAGTATTCGTAATTTGTTCCGTCTTTTCAAGTTATGCAACTAGATTTGGACTCGATCGTACCTCAGCTTTGCAAAATCCAACGATTTGTTGTAGGAATTTTATTAATTATCTGGAAATCACTCTTCACCCAAACAGCAGCAGTTAACTGAATAACTGTTGGGTTGCGTAAATTTCGAGGGAAATTGGCAACGATAGAGTGAATTACCTTTATTATCTGACTGTGGACTGTGGATCGTGTGCTGATGTATGCACTTGCGAAATCTAGTTGAACACTGATGAGCGGCAGTTGTATCCAAGAGTGGTGAAACAAAAAACGGAGATCAACTGTGCATGAATTGAGGGGTAACAGAAATTTCTGCCAGAGGATAGGCTCAGCTGTTCGATGGTCGGGCACTATTTCAAAATGGAACGCCATGAAACATCCAGCTGGATACCGTATAAGCATACGTTCATCATTATACTCGAAACTATCGTTTTTCCCACCGACCGTCTACTGTGTTTTCCTGCATTTCGCCAGCTTACTGTCTGGCGTGTTGCCCTACCCGCAAACGCCGCCTACCCCCATGAACACCATTCCCGTATGACACGATCCACGGTATACAGACAGCTAATTGAGGCCCTTCGCCCTACTGTTGCCGGCAGATTATTTATTACACCCAAAAATGGTAACCTTTCCAGTTCGGCGACCCTTCATTGTTATCACCCAGCCCACTTCTCCTCTGCGCTCAGCAAAGAATCCTGCGGATCGTGTTAGGGCACAGCTAACTGTGACCGTCGTCACAGTTAAATTGGTAGGGTAGACTCGGAGGATAATTTGTTTAACCAATTGTCTGAATACAGAAGTAAACACTCTTTTCAAACTCCGGTTCTTGCAGGAGCTACGGTATCTGACTGTGCAAGGATTGTCCTGCTCTTGCACTGACCATCTTCGAAGTGCTTTTGCCAAATCCATCCTTCGTCTGCTCGAGGTTTTAATCGTACTAGACACGTTGCATATCAATGGTCCCTGTTCCTGTTGATCGAACTGAGGAGCTACTGAGTATGCGAGTCAGTTAAGGACATATTGATTACACCGTTTATGATACTTATAAGCTTTGGAACGGAAAGCTTTGAAAATCAGAAACATTCGTGAAAACATTAGACGACCTGTTTCCTGTTCCTGTCGGTGGCGTCCGACCACCTGGAAATCGGCGCTTTAAAGCGAACGTCCTTGGTTTTAAAGTACATCTAATCAATCTCTCACTTATGGCCACAGTCCCTCGCAAACTTCATTCCCCCACCAACCCCCGCCATGGGAATTTCCTTTCACGTAAACGACGCTGAAGTAGCACGTCGCTCGCCACTTGTCCTAGGCTCGTTTCTCTTGTTAGTCTGACAAAGCACAGACCCCTATGCCTATTTGTGTCTGCAAGCATTCTTTTCTGTTTTAGAGAAATCAACTATCCACCCGTGCAAATCCTTCGGCGCCATGAGTTCTATCTCCTTTGGGGAGTCATGCTTTGTAACATCATTCCCATCACTCTGATCACAGCTTCATTTAAGGTAAGTTTTGTGGGATCAAAGACTTTTCTCCCTCTAACCTGCCTTTATGGCTCGGCCTTAAAAGAATAAGTCCCCCCCTCCCCACTGCTTCGGTTGTTAGGCAGTGAGTATCGTGGCGGACTTTAAACCCACGCGCATTATCGAATTTGCGCTGCCAAGTGGGAATCGGAGGATGCCTCAGTCTGAGCGTAATCGCACAGCGTACGTGACAACACGCTGGAGAGGCTGTAAAGAACGTGACTAGACTTGATCATATCTGCGTGTCGGTTGGCTGAAGGAACGTCCCGATCGACCAATCAGTTGCGCACTTCTGTCCCCTATGCGAGCCCGTTGCGAACAGTCGCAACGGAAGGAAACAGCCCCTAGGTTGGGCGAGCTTGCGTGTGCACGTGCCCGTTTCTGCGGCAAGACGATGTGTCCTCTAGGAGCCCTTGCCAAAAACGTGGGCGGCGGGACAAATGGACCAAGTTCCGGACTGTGTGCGTCTCAATTGTGAACAGTCTAAATATTCCCAGATAGGTAGTTGTCTTCAGAGGGCTGTTTCTGGCATGACAGTTGTTTGGAGCAACCACTTGGCTCGCTGAGCGAGAAAACATCTTTCTGAAAGCCTGGGCGCCTTAACTTATCTACCCAAATTGCAGAACGCAATATCAGTGTCCCATTTGGCTCTGAAAATCGGATTAAGAGCTCCTCAGATTGTCGCCTAACGTCTGCCGAGGGTTCGCTCTGTCTAGAGTTTTGTATGTGGCTGTCTGACGAGGGCAGGTAAACCAGAAACGACCACTCAAGGACATTTTTCGTTGTCTATGGTACTTCTGACATATTGACGCTTTCATAAGTCAAACGTCCAGCGTTAATGAGAGTGGAGGAGTATGCTCACACCCCCCTCCCCCTACCGCGTAGATACTTTTTTCTGTCAGAGGACCCCCTAGAACACTGCTTGCAACATTTTTTTGACTCTTCCTTTGCGCCTTTTGGCGAGCACCAGCCAGGATCCGACCACCGAACTGCTGGTCTCATATGTCGAAAACCAAGTAATGCAGACTAGTCGTCAACATCCTGACAGAAACGCATACTCGCCACCTGTGCCTTGTCAGTTGGACGGTTGTTAATGGTGGCGAAAAACATTAAATAATCACCAGAACTTTTTTCTCCCTGTCAGGATATTTGTGTTGAGACTGGTGATGCTGATGGCGGCGGCTGCAGCAGTGTTTGCCCCTGAGGCTTATCGGAGGACCTATAGTTGCATTTTGCCCGAACACTGGCAGTCTAAACGCGGTTTTCCGTATGAGAACACGAAGTGTCGTCTTCCGTACACCGTACAGAGATTCGACCCCGGCTATGATGTTCACGACACTAATTGCGACGTTAGCGGTGTTCATAGTGACGTTTAAGAGGACTATTATTTTCACTTTGTCTCCCGATATCTTCCCTTCTCTACCCTCCCATTTGACCGAATTTTCACGTGTTTAACCTTTCTGGCTGTTTTTGTAGTTTGTTGGACAGAAAACGATATCCGATGATCGATTCCTCTCCAACGTTGCCACTGCTAGTTCTCTCTTTAACTCCGGTGGAAGAATTATGTGGGGCGCGATCTGCGACCGATTTTCCTTTAAGGTAAGCACTTACCACCTTTAAGCAGTTCTCTCTCCCGAATGCTTTTTGGATTTGCATGCCACTAATTGTCGCGCATACTGCTGCACACAGTTGATCCCAGCGCGGACATCCTTCTGTACTCTGAACGCAATTTTAGCTGAGTTTACAAATTGAGTTATTTTACACACAATCACCGCTGGTTCAGCTGTTGAAAGTGGTGACGTCCACCGCGTCCCCTGTAGAGGAGGCGCGTTACCGATGTCTTGGACAGAAAGTAGTTTGTAGTGAAGCAGGCTTGCGAAACGTCTATATATATATATCTTTCTCTCTCCCTCTCTCTCTCTCTTTAACACCCACTTTGCTCCGGGGACGGGCGCGGACGCAGTGGCTGAGAAAGTTAGGCAGCCGTCTGCGCCTGCCACACACGGTGGTCTGATCACCACTTCATATACCAGGCTACAATAACAGCGAATCGTATCTCGTATGACAGAGTGTCATCGAAGTCGCCTGACGGGGTCTTTGCAGCTTGACGTTCAGTTCTGAGAAGGGCTGAATAATCCTGCCTTCCACGACACGACTTGGGGCCCATTGTGATACGTTCAAGCCCCCTAAATGGATTATATTCAGGAGTGCGCTGGTGTGCCGGTCTCACTTTCTCCTCCCTCTCCCGTGCACCAGTCGACTGTCCGAGCCTGTCAACCTACCGGTGATGCAATCGGGCGCAGTGGTTCACGCGGCCTGAAGGCCTACGTCGAAGGCCTACCACGCACACGCGGGCACGGCGGTAGTTTTGTCATCGCACCGGCCGTGAGACAGTCTGTGACCCCCGTTCTGGTCCAGCGCGTCTGCAGCGCAGCCCGTTGTGGGGGGCCGAAATGACCACCCGCGGTTTGCGTCTCGTCATCAGTTTGTCACGTTTTTGCTCAAAACTGGGAAGACGTGAGAGATGGCAGCTACCCGGGTGACGCTAGCACATGCCCTGTCGACTGCAGTCCGTATTATTTAGTCTTATGCAAAGTAACACCAACCGAACTGACGACAACAGCCTCGGGCAATCAGTAAAGATTACATGAAGTTAAGCGGAGCTTTACCTCATAATCCTTTGCACTGAAACCAAGTTGAATAGGCAGAACTCGAAATTAATGGATGATTAAGTTGACAAGTAGAACACCTTTTGTCACTATTTGCTATTTACATAATCATTCTATTTGTTCTGGTTGTTTGTGATGTCGTGGGCTGTCGAATTATTGGTTATTACTTGAAACGGCAAGGATTATGTATATGCGCGGAGTAAGAAAATGCTAACCAGCGTTTTAGCACCCCTACTTTACCGGTAGACGCATGCATCCCATCTAACAATATTTCGAGTGTTCTTTTACTATCTGACTGCTCTCCGTGCCAAACTTTTAAAAAATGGGCTTTCCTCTTACTAGAAAATAACGTGTGGATGTGCAGAGCAATAAACTAATGTAGACGCCGACTCCTCGCTACGATGCAGGTCAGCGAATGTTGTCCTGCCGAAGAAGGGGCGACCCAAAACTACCGATGAACACTTAATTTTAAAAATATTGTACTGGAAATTTCTCCCTATCGCCCTGGAATATAGAAGAAGAAATTGTGGTCTCTGACACAGGAAGTTTATTTGCCCGGCGTTTCGGATTTCGCCTCTAACCCATAATCTGACGAGCCTACCTCTCGAAGGTATAAGACCCATGCCCTGACGGAAAAAAAATTCGGTTCTGGCGAGCGGCCGGCCATTTCCGGTGGAAGGGACTGGTTTGCGTTCGACTATGTAAACTTCGTTTTGCGCACTCTGGGTCTGATTATTTGTACAACATCTTACCTAAACTTACTTTTCTGTACTCCTTTTTCACTGCCTTCAGATTCCGCTGTCTATAATGCTCACCGTGTGGGCAGCTCTCCTCTTCACCTTCCCGTATATCGGTACAATCCCCACGGCGGGAAAGGCCTTGTACGCTCTGTGGGTTTGCACCCTCTTCCTCTCCCTGAGCGGCGTCTTCGTCCTTATGCCAGCCGCAACCGGTCGCATATTTGGACCCGTTTACATGGCTGTAAACTACGGCATGGTTTTCAGCGCATTTGTGAGTTACTTCCTTTTCCGCAGTACAGCTACCCTCCCTCCCCTCCCTCCATTCCCTGTGCTACACTGTTATCCCATGAGTACAGCATGTATGGGGACTGCATCATTTCTTCTCGGCATGCTTTCAGGCAGCTTCCGAAGCATCGCTGTCGGCACTTTAAACAAGCACAAGTCGCTCAGAGCTTGAACTACGAGCGGAGATCGCAGCGGTAAATTTCTTTTTAGCTTGTCAGGCTTGTGCCGGAATCATCGAACTCTATGTTCTCCTACGCTCACTTTATTCCCGTAGAAATTTAAATGCAAGGCAAACTAAGATAGTTGCCGGCACAGTGACTGACGAGATTGATGGAAAATTTACGCCCACCATACATATGGTTTCCCTTACTTTACGGTGACCCCCTCCGTGATGACTGTCTGTGCCTACTTGGGGCGTTGAAGTCACCGGAGCCAGTCCATTTGTCTGCCTTCAGCAGAGACGCGAGGACGTGCAGATTTTCATAAAACTCCTCTTTCCTGTAGTCGCTGTCTGCCTTTATGGTAATTTAGGAGTGGATAACGGTGTCGAAGTACTCTCGGCGTAGTGGAACTTCATTAAGAGAGAGAGAGGTGACTTTCCGGCGAAGTTGTTTTTTGATGCGAAGCCATCCCCAGCATCAGGACATGCCTCCGTGTGACAACCACCCTGGAAGAGTGTGTAACCTGCACCGACCATCTTCATTTGTTCTTCTCTTATGAAGTCTGGGTGTCTGAGTAAGCCAATGCTCACCCTGTGACGAACCAGTTTTCGGCCGTCAAAGCGAACGAGCATTCCAGGCTGCCAAAGTGGGTATGATCACTCTGGTGAGATGCATAGGAGGGTGAGAACAAGGTATGCTGCTTCCATCGTATGCTAAGCGTCCGCAATCCGCTGGCAGCTCACATTCGCTCCGGGCACACTTTAGTCCAGTCCTTCTTGAGGGCATAAAGTAGAGTTTCCCTGGATAGGGCTGCTTAAACATCCCGTATCCCCGCCGGGTCCGACTATCGGCCAGGGCTTTGGTTTAAGGAAAATACGACCCGAGCTAGCTCCCTCTGCCTACACAGAATTGTTATCGCTCCATCGTCAGGACTTTAAGAGTTGGGGTAAGGAGTGAAAGTCGTAGAGTTATGGCTGACTAATCAGATGTTTTTAGGGGAATTAAGCCCTTATTTAAAAATTAAATTGAGGAGAGTACAGAAGGCGGGTAAAAAAGGGGCATAGGAACTTTTCCGGGAATGCGCACCCCATAACAAATCCCAATAATTGAGGTGCGGTGGAAGGCCCAGTTTCAGGCACACGCCGCGCCAGTTGGGTTATCTGCGCGTTGTTGAAAGTCTAGGTCATGTATTCTTTGTGGACTAGGGGTATGGCAGTACGCCTAGATGCGGGTTTTCGTCGTGCCAGCCGCCTTCGGTCTCGACCGCAGGCCCAGTTGGGTGAGGAGAGAGTGTGTTAGATGCTGCGCAAGTCTACTATCACTATAAACCAACTCACGCGCAGGTCACCGTGCTTGCTCTCGCACCCCCTGCGGAGCACACGATGGACATTGTTGCCAACGAAGGTCGAACTGTCGTAGTTGCACCTACTCGATGCCATCAGAGACTCACTACTGCGTTTCTGTGATGTAAGCCAAAAATAATCATCCGTCTCCGCAGGCATGTTCGTCTTACCCAGGTTTGCGGAAAAGTTGGATGTTTTCGTCATTTTGGTGGGTTTTTTGGTAGAACTTAAATCTAGTCTGTAAACCTAGCAGAAGACTGGAAGTATTGCATATAAGCAAAATTATTTCTTATTTCGCGGGATCTTGTAAGTTTTTGAGTTAATAATTACGAGGTGGGAAATGTAGTAATCAGATTACGAAGTGAAACCAGCTTATCCAAATTTAAACGTAACATGAAGAGCTTGTTTTGGTGAAGCTGAAGGAGAATTCACGTGCCCACAAATTACGTGCTCCGCGTACTCGGCTGGAAGTACGTACCAATTACACAGAATCGCACCTCTGGAAGTTGACTGCTCTAATTATTCTCTTGACTTCTTTTAACTGGAAGGCCGAAGAGAACAGCAAGGGCGTTACCCTCACTCCAGTAGAAAAAATCTCTGCAGGCAGGATTTCCGTCACAAAGACACGCCGCGGTCAGTGCCCCGCTGTCTGGCCGTCTGCGATGCTGGCGTGGTTGGGGACTAGCTTGGAGTCGATTCACCTTCTCATTCCCTTTTTCTGATCTTGGCAGATCGAACTCACCACTGCGTTCGTATTTTTAACGTCAGCCATATTAGACTGGATGGAGCAAGATCAGTATCGACTTACTAGTTGCTGAGCGGACTTACCCAATGAGTAGTATCGATTAGCCCAAATGTATGCCCTATTTCCGAAATAGGCGCCAATAGTTGGGATAACATGTTCGTCTCTTCACACTTCCCGGTCATGCAATCTCGGAGGCTGTTCACTCTGGGGAAAGATGACACCATGAGCAGATTGCGGAACGTCTTTACTAGAGAAAAGGTGCGCCCCACCGGACCCATTCTCCTCAGATCGCGTGGAATTGCACTTCGTGTTTTCACTCCTACCTAAGGCTGTGCATGCTAAGTTCCATCATCTTCTAAAACCTGTGCATACTGCTCCATTAGAAGTTCTCTGAAAGGAAGCTGTTTTTGAATAAGAGGTGGGGTTTCAGGCCAAACTTCAAAGAAGTTGGATGAGCTTGCTACCGTGAGTTTATTTCTCGCCGAACACCTTGCTACTACCGTCCATTTGAAACGCGCTTAAATTTACTCGCTTGCCGTGGGACTGTCGGGATTAACCACTCTTCTTTCCGTGGCATTTGCCTATTTGTCTGTTTGAACTGGCTGTGCCAGTCGACAGTGGTGGGGGGACGTACACGGACAGCAGTTGACTCGCGCCTGTTGACCATAATTCACGGACCGGTTGACATCTGCACTGCTTCGTGTCACGCACTCCAACGCTAGTGCCGATCCACTTGGGCAATTGCGGTCATCGCATCAACAACAGGGGAATCCCACGTCAAGGTGAATGAGAATAACTTCGCAATTCTTAGGGGGTTTTATTTTTCAAGTCTGTCTGAAAGATATTCTCCCCCTAGTGAGTCTTCTCATTATGAAGCGATAGACCTTCAGGAGTCTGATCAAATGTTACCCTGAATCCGTGCATACTACCATCCCTGCATTGGCATTATTAACTGAGGCAGTTGGGTAACTGGGGTCCTGGTGCCTTTTCGGTAAATGTCAGCTCACCTTTATGACAGGAAACTGTTGTACAGATGAAGTCATCTGCACCTTCGTCAATCCCCGGTGATCCACGATGGGTACGAAATTGGGAAGCTTGTACAGAATTTGCCTCACTTTTTTACCTATATTCCACTAGGCCGTAGTGGTAGGTCAAAGTAAATTCGATGATTAAGGGCGTTTTACATGGCTGATTGTGGATGGATGTTCTCACTGATGTCCACATTTTAATTCATACAGACTGAAAAACGCTGTTACTATGTCCACGTCTCACACTACGTGAGCCTTTCAAAATATCCCAGCAAATGCGGTTAGATGGTAGTTGGTAGCCCTCCCGGTACCGAAAACTCCCAGCTACCTGACTTACGGGACCGGTGGTAATAGGGGCTATACGGGTGGGGCAAATGAGTGGAGGCGTAAATGGCGCTTGTAGGGAATGTCTGGAATTGACGATCCTGGTAAAGTGGAAACCTAATTTAAATAAGGTGAAAAATGCGAGGAAGGTGAACACTTCGGATCTGACTGACGTATGAGACGCCTTGCTGTTGTAGTCTGAACCCAAGAGGTAGTAAGTGCGCGATGTCGTAGGTGAAGTGCGCCCAGTTCAAACCCAGCAATGCCGAAGCGCCCGGGGGGGTGCCGTAGTGCCTTAAACTGGAAGTGCAGGAAAGGATCGCTAACTGGCCATGGCGGTGTTTACAAGGCGTCACAGTTTTCAGCCAAACCCCTGCGACCAAATACAACCGGGCTGTTCGTAAAGGCGGGGGGTGGAGGGCAGCACTCTGTCAATACGACTGATGCAGTGGATGGAGTATCGGTTGACCCCCTAATTGCGCGTCGGTTGTCCTTTCGTGCACGATCGCACCGGACTCTACTGGAGGTCTGGAGTAAAAAGACCCAAGGATGCAGGCAAACCGACGAAACGGAGACCCGCGCCAATCCGCCTAGGATAGTACCTATGCAATTAATCTGATGCAGGTAATACTGTGCGCACATGCAACTAGAAGCATAATGGGAAGCATGATGAATCATAATCCGTTTAGGATAAATCTTTCGCCTTTTACTAAAGATTTCCGTGTGGGGGTGCAATACAATGAGTCTATATAGACAGTCTTGCAGCGCCTCGTTCTCGGGGCGGTTAAAGTGAAGAAGAAAGTCATCCTGACAGGGCCTCTGTGCGTGCACCCCCAGACATGATGAGAACGTTATCACAGATACCGAAATCGAGACAGTAGGTACAATTGTAGAATCAGTGGCCAGGGCTACCAATTACCATTCTGCCCACAATTGTTCCTGGTATATGCACTGACCTCTTCTGTCTGTGGCATTGTTGGCCAGCACTTGTGAACCATCAGTGTGTCTTCGTCTTCGTTAATAGATATCAGATCAAGTTGCCCGAAGCGCCAGACAATCTGAACCGTTTCAGAATCCTCTTCAACTGTTTCCGCTGATTTTAACACTATCATCGGACACTTGTGAGCCATGATAGGTTTCAAATTGGGGAGGTTTACACAGAATCTGCCTAACGTTTTGCCAATATTACACTGGGTCCTAATGGTGGGTCGAAGTAAATTTGGGAATAAACGGAATTGCGAGTTTTAGATCGTCAACCGTGGATGGGTGTCCTCACCGATACCCACAATTTGATGCATATTTAATGTCCCGTCAAAACGACGCAAAACATTCATTTTCGATGTCCTACCCCTTCAAGGTCATTCTCCTTCGCCATAAAAGCTCTCCGTCGCGTTGACCTCACAGTTCAACTGATGGCATTGCCTGAAACACAGATGCACACACCGAGACAGTCGCAGTCCCCCATATCTCACACCCCACAGTACCGACGAATTGAGGCACAAAGCCCTTGAACTACTCCGTACAATTGGGTTTGGCCCTTGAACCGGAATCTTGTCGTTGACTCTGTTGAGGACATCGCCCTGAGTTCGCGACAGGATGTCACCCACTGCATTTCCTATTGTGGACACAATCAGTAACAGGAATGAGTCATGAGAGTAACAGCGAAATAAAGTCAAGTAGAGGTTTTGTGATGGCTGAGTCAGATCATGCATGGCTCTTGTTTAAAATAACGTCTGGTACCCCAATTTGTGGCGACGACCTCAATCATCAAATCGTGTCCCGGTTAGCAAGAGAAGATATGAGCTAGCGTTTCTTTCTTAGGTATCAGTGACCACGGACTAGGCTATGGCGTGAGCCAACAGTGATAAGTTCAGCCTGTGACATTGTTCTTCTGGGTGGTTTACGGCTTTTATAGGTTTTTTTGGGAGCCCTTACCCAGTTCAAGCAGATCTGTCCAAAATAAACGGACGCTCTCCGGCCACCGAGTGCGCTGTCCCACTGTCTCATTGTTTCCTCCACTGCAAACTTCTTCATTCCTTTCGGCGTCCGAGGCATTCTGTAGGTGCCCAGAACGTGCATGCGCCTTGCGCCTCTGGTCCACTTGCCGCATTAGGAATCAGGTGATCACCGTGTTTTTTTTGAGAACGACGCATACGAACATTCAACTCCGGGGCAGCCAATCACAAGCGTCCACGTGCTATGAAACAGTCTAGCCGGCTCCTCATACTGATCGCGGCCGGGCCTCATGTGAGACGCGTCTGTCTCTGGTTCAGGGACGCGAGCAGCCGTCGAGAGCACAGACCACCATCTGTTTAGGATAAACGCCTCCTACTCGCACGTTAGGCTTGAAATAATGGTGATTAAGGTACACCCACTATTCTAACTGCCACAAATTGGTAACTCCCACTGGTCCTAGTCCGTCCACCCTGGAGCACGTGAAACATAGACGACTGTGTCTATCTGGGCGTGTGTACACCCGGGTTGCAGTGAGTAAAGGCAGACGCCCGGACGGCATATGAGCGTTCTCACTATAGGCGAATGACCTTGAAGCGCTGGTCGTCCAAAGAGGATGTTTTGCAGGATCTCTATGCTTGGCTGCAACGGTGTGGAGACCAGTTAACCCAGCCCTTGTCACGGTTTCAAATTTTTCCAGCAAGCAACTGTAGGTAAGTCACGGAGGAATTACATTCGCCGATCTGTCTTGCTTGCTGTACGTAAATGGGGATTTTCTGGCCGACAGCTTCTGTCACTGCCCACACGTCTCGTGCCACGTGGCTCCGTCACAATAGCCCAGAAAATGTCACAACCCACAAAATAAAACCTCGTTCACAATGCCACCAGTGCCGAAGAGAAAGTAGATTGGTTAACGCGTGCACGTCAAACCCCACCCTACGTTCACACAATTGACTACCTGGGCAACATGAAAACACCACGGCAACCATGCCGGTCCCAGAAAATGGGCGGTAGACCAGCCGCTAGCAACCCTTGAGCAAATATACCGAGGTTCTCCGTCTTCTCAGAAAATGTGCTTTTGAATCTACGCGCCAGCATTTAAGGTAACGAAAAACAACTTTCCGTCTGCAGTTAAGTCAATTAAAACTAAACTGCATTGCCCCAGAGTTAAAGTGAGTAACAGTAAGTCTGTACAGGACAGACCCCACCTAAGTAAACTTCGTTTAGATTAAGCTGTAGAAAGTTCATACGCCCTGCTAGGTTTTGGAACAATGCTCGATAATAGCTTCAATAAAAGTGCACAGTCAAATTCCAGGAAGCAGTCGTGAAGGAGAAAGCACGATCGCTGGAACAAGAACTTTGTGTGCCTGATTGTCCAGCTTATTACTCGAACCCATCATCAGAGACGACATCGCCTGTATCCGAAGTTGCCTCTGATGATGGGTTCGAGCAGGAGGGCGAAACGTCAGGCGACTAGAACTGCTGATTCAGTGGTTGTTTCTCGTTCACTTTTATGCTAGGCTCTCGTCCGCCATGTTCTGTTGTCAGCCCCAATTGGGTCGGCATGATCTCAGTTCTCATGATTCTCCGGTGCTGCAGCCTCAAACATCCATCTTGCGCCTTGACTACCCCTCAGCTACCTAGGAAACCGTTTACACATGAGAATGATGCGTTGGGCTGACCTGAACACAAAATGTTTTTACGCAGTTGTCCCCAAAGACAACGGCAATTTCAGCAACCAACCTCACTGACAGAAACAGCCGTTGCCAACATGCCGTTGCGGAGGAACGTATGTAGACCGTAGCAACAGTATTTCACTTTCCTGCCCGATATAATCGCTTTGGACCATTCATACTTTGAATCGCATGTGATGGTTAATCCGCCGCATCGTTTGTGTTTTTTCTCTCTTCAGGCTGTGGGTAGCATCATCTGCGCACTCATTAGCGAACTGCTGAAGGGCGAGTTTGTGTTTCTGTACACAATGTGCGGATTTGTCTGCGTCCTTGGTAAGTCAATCGTGCTGACCCCTAAACACTTTCTCCTCCCCCCCCCCTCTTTCTTCTTCTTCTTCTTCTTCTTCTTCTTCTTCTTCTTCTTCTTATTATTATTATTATTATTATTATTATTATTCTCCTACACCACCACCACCACCACCACCACCACCACCACCACCACCACCACCACCACCACCACCACCACCACCACCACCACCACGACTGTTAGTTGTCGTGGCGGCAGTAGTCCTTTAATAGCGATAGTCGCAGTACTATTAACGACTCCAACGGTGATTGTTTGAATGGTGATTTTAGCGGAAATAATGGTCCTAATGTTAGTAGTATGGTGACTAGGGTTAGTGGTCATAGTTGGACTAATAGTAATGCCGCCAGCTTCATCGTCGTTATTGTCATCAATAGAGGTTGCACTCTTTACAACACTGGTAATTGTAGCAGTAGTATCAGTCCTACTGTTGGCAAAAGTAGTGGTACTACTGGCAATGATGGTGGTAGTAGTAGTAGTAGTAGTAGTAGTAGTAGTGGTAGTAGTAGTAGTAGTAGTAGTAGTAGTAGTAGTAGTAGTAGTAGTAGTAGACCGCCCGCTGCGACCCCCATTTGTTTTTAACCCAACCTGCATCTTTGCAGACATAATGGGTAATTGTTTTCTTAATTTATAGGTCTTTTCCTCCTTATCTGGATCCACGACCCCTTCATTGCACGCAAACTCAATCTGTGCCGTGTCTGTTCCGCCACCTGTCAAAGGTGTCAACCCCGTGTTCCTCTAAGCGCCGCGTAGACAGCTGCTTCTTCTTCTACCGGTGAATAAACGCGCCATGCTGTTTCGATCTCATCTGAAATCTCTCATTCGGCTTCCAGAATCTCACAGTCATTTCCGTCTCTTATCTCCTCGACGGAACCCTATAGCGCCATTTAACTTCCAACTATGCTTATCCCCACTCCCAACTCCCTCCCATCACCCGGCCTTCCGAAACCGTTGAAGATGTTCTGTTCAGAATATCGGATGCAGACTGCTCACTTAACGTTGTCCGCTTTTCGTAGACCGTCAGTGACTGATGTTTACGCATAGTCAAGCGCCTGTAGACATTCACTGCACTCACCCACACCCCCCTATTCTTCCAGTTTATTGGCTTCCAGCATTCTAACGCCCTTGGTTTTCATCCCCTGACGTTAACAGATTTGTTGCATAAGAGGTGCCCTCATGCAATTGTGTCACCACCATATCCGTCTACGCTGCCAAAACAGCGTTACGACTCCTATGTGCACTGGCAATGACAGGGTACTCTCCCACCTGTTACTCAGAGTTGGAAAGATGTTTCTTAAAAAGAATGAAATGGTTTGGCTTGGAGTCTGATTCTAAGGGTCAGTTTTGGACATTTTAACGTCTGGGTAACCAAACTATTCCCGCACACACGTACTAGCCTCTATCTCACGCCCATGCCGATGTCAGTCCAACCGTCGTTTCCGACCATGTCTACCATCTGCTCCGTAGCATGACGGGCACAGAGACTGTGACTTGCGCGTACTCTAGTCTGTACTGGTAGCAGACTTGCGCTGCACATACTGTACTCTTTTCTCCTCACCCACCTGGGCCCGGTGTCAAAAGACAGTCAAGAAGGCCCGAGACGGGATTGGGCATAATGACTGACAGCGCTAAACGGTCCGTCTGCGCGTGTTGCACTCGCCTGTTCCGCACACTAAGGGCCGAGTTTCTACAGGAGCACCAAAGGGGTGGCTTGGATTGAATGAAAGTCCCTTGGGGACCACATTAAGAAGGGACTCTTGCAGCCCGAGTCTCCGTCCTGAGAAGAGGACTGGGCTATCCCTTCAGTTGGCAGCCCTCCAAGGCGCGGCTTTTAGCACATCGTGGTGGTTTAAACTCATCAGGTTTATTATAGTGAAGGCGTGTGCGTGTCTATAATCGACCTATATATGTGCTATACTCCTTGGTAAGCAATTTGCCACCAACTTTAGCGCCTACACTCTGAAAATGACAAAGATGAAGGACGAATTTAACGAAATGTTTTACTTCCTCGTGTCCGCCAATGAAACCTTTGAAATCGAGCCCAGAAACCGCCAAAACTGCTTCGAGGGCAGTGTGGAAGAAATGCAGCACCTCGTATCTGAAACGTACCAGATTCACAAGGCTTACGCGAACAGCTACACTGCATTTTCGCGAAGCAAATATCGGCAACGATATGTGAAGGACCCAAATTGGCTGTCAGCATACTATGGATCGTGCAGTGATGTATGAACTTGCGAAATCTAGTTAAGTCTTATGACTGGCAGTTGTACCCAAGAGCGGAGAAACAAAAAACGGATACCAACTGAGCGGGAGGGATAGGCTCAGTTGTTCGGTGGTCAGACACTCCAAGACGGGACGCTGTAGAATGTTCGGTTGCATACCGTATCTACATGCATTCCTCACCTTACTCAAAAGTATCGTTATTGCTACCGACCATTTTCTGTGCTTGCCTGCATTCCATCAGCTTGCTGTCCGGCGTGCTGCCCCAATCGTCCCTCCATCACCACCATCCCCCTATGATACGACCCATAGTATGCTGACAGCTAATTGGGTCCTTCCCCCTACCGTTACCCAGATATCAAACACAGTAGAGGCCTTCGGAGGTGCAAACGCACTGGCTCGCAGGGCAGAGAAAATCCAAGTACACACTCGCAGTGAAGAAATGTATCATGTAACCTTCAAGGTTGTCTAGACCCCCTAGACTCATCATAGCTGCACCATTGCACACTTCAGACGGAATCACCCTGCCCTCAGAAAGTTGCATGTCCTTGAACCCCGGGTCAAACACTATAGGAGCGTCTTTTATTCCCTTGTCTTTAGTCCGCGAAAAAGTCGTCATTGGCCTTCTTCGAGCGGAAACAAACGACGAGTCGGGGACGCTTGCGCCGCCCACGCAGGACTTCAGAGCAAATAGGCGGATTTTCAGGGGCTAAACCCCGACTATCGACTCGATTTCAACAAGAGTGTGGAGGTGGGAAGAAGTTCCACTAGAATTCAGCGGTATCGTCATCGTTCACATCTATAAGCAAAAAGATAACTGACAAATCTGCTATGATTACTATCTGATATCTTTTTTGTAGTGCTGACAAATGCTCCTTCTCGTCCTCTCACGTCCAAATTTACACCTGGAAAAACGGTTTATCCCAGAGACTTTATGCGGATTCTGAAAATATCGCAAATCAATCTGGATTATATCCGAAGCGCAACGAATACGCGATAATGCCAAGAAATTAGGCTCTGTCCGTACAGAATCCTCGCACCGTGAGTCGATATGAACTCGGGGAATTTCTAATGAAACTTGGATGTTCCGACTGATTCGGGCTGACAAGGCATTTCCTCGATAGCCCGCCTACAGGACGACGGGTCAACCGTGGAACCATCCGCCGTGGCTAGTGTGATAGGTCTGGGGCGCGTCCTTGCCCCCCAACCATCTTCCGTATCATATTTTCTGCAACGCTGATGGAAGCCGATCTGAGGGATTTTCAGGGATCGGCATCAGCTGTCGAGCCGACGAGAATCTAGTCAACATTCGCGCAAGGCGAAGTATCGCAAGCATTCCCTTCGCCGATAATGTTCACTGAAGTTAACCGCTGAAGAGGAGGAACAGCGAAATCTGTCCCCGTATGTGCCCTTGGGTTTACATATTAACTTGGAGAAAGCAGTTGTTGTGCACCAACAGCACCAACCATGGTGTACGCGGAACCACCAATAATTCCCAGGGTCAATCGCACCACCGTCGTGGACTAATTCTCCTGTCTTGGAAGTGTCGAAATTAACGCATATGTAGTAGGCGGATCGTCCTGATGTTCTGGCTGAGGGACTAGTTTCGGGCGAGGGTCTGCCGGTTTGATTGAGCAGGGTGGAGACAGGGTTGCTTTTCTCTTTTTTGAACGGTAAGTCTTGGATCATACCATCACGAGGACAAACAATATCTCAACGTACAGGGATGATCTGAGTAATTAAAGAAAGTCCAAAACGAAAACGATATATTGGTGAGGAGATGGGGACATAGGAATGGGGAACAAGAAGCGTCAGAGACGCTGGTAAGTTTCGCGGAACAGAAGGGAAGGGGAAGACTCTTGGAGATTAAGGCTGTGGTTTAGGAGGCACAGTATCCACCGTTTCCTGGTTTGTAACCGGACTCAGTCGACTGTCCTTATCTGAAAACACCAAAGGAGAAGACGCAAACCCAATCCTCGACACTAAGCCTCCTTTCTCTTTCTTCCCGCTCGCATATCTTTCTGTCCATTTAAAACAAACGTTCCTTTTCTGGTCTTACACATGAGTAAGGGTCGGATCTCCAAAGCCAGTAATTTTTCGGTCGACTTCAGTTTTCCGTAGCTTATCGTCTTGGCGCTTTCAAATCTAGACTAAAGGTGCAAGGGATCATAGTCTTGGCAAGGCTTTACGCGCATTCCTCGTCATAGAGGACATTAAACGGTACAGCGCTTTTCTAAGCGAGCCCTCTACAAAAGTTGAAGGATGAGATAAGGAATGCAAAGGTAGAGGGCAAAGAAACAGCTCTGTAACGGTCACGTGCCCTTGCCATCTGCGTACGTTCATAGCTTCTACCGACCTTATGTGGCATCTTGTTATGAACCTCATTGGCAGTTCGACCGCCGTTGCCGACAATGTCCGCCGTGTGCTCCACGGCAGGGTGAGTGCAGGGAAGGTGTCTTGCGCGTGAATCAGCTTAAAGTGATAGTAGACTTGCGCTGGATCTACCGCGCCCTCTCCTCCTCCGCCTGGGCCTGGTTTCGAGACAAAGTCAAAAATACGAAAGGCCGGAGATGATGCAGGTGGCTGGCATGGCGTAAACCCGCGTCTCAGTAGTACCAACTGCAACACTAACACCGACACTTTGCTGAAGAACGTCACAAACGCTGATTAATTCGGCAGTCAGCCGTTTGACGACGTGCGATGAGCGAGGGAGTCGATAATCTTGACCCGCATACGGGGGCACAGCAACCGCATGACAACGTCATACTTCAACACCTGACCAGTGGAGCTGTGATGCACTCGGGAGCTGCCAACTATAATAGGCATGTAGCGGCCTAGCAACTACATCCTGTACAAATTGCAACACCTGTCTCTGATGATGAATTCGAGCCAGAATCCGAAACGTCAGGCCATCGCGCCTCCTTCTCCGCAACGGCTAAACGCCTGCTCACACTGTGAAAACCCAATAAAGGCTACAATGATCCTGGTATAACGTTCCACGACCGTCACCAAATACCAAACCTTGCCTGTTTGACCAACTGTCTCGTCGCTGTTCACATCACTGTGCTGGAGACAGCTGGCACCCGGACGAGGGCACGCTCGGCGACCGGTGAGCGGCGTCCCACGTGTGTGAGGGGATGCGTCAAAGCGTCTTCAGTCAGGACACGTTTGACTCGGCCTTGAATCTGATTGGCCAGCTGGAGAGCCGAGTGGGCGAATGCCAGACAGCCCTAGTGCGCACGTGCAGACACTCACGTGGGGCCCAGCATTGAGACACGCGCTCGGCTAGGGCCACTACAGGCCTTCGCGCCCAATCGGTTAGCTGATAGCAGTGTGGGTTGGCAGCGTCGCCACCATGAGCCCAGAGGCATCTACTTGATTGCTGAAACATAAAGCTTACCAACATCTTCCATACAGGCAGGTTTGACGCAGTCGGCAGTGACTGAACTGGCCTTTTCGTTCCGTTAGATGACTGGCCGAATTTCCGATCGGCGGAGAATTGTATACGGACAGTTCTATGGAGGTTACGGGGG